TGCCTGCCTTTTCTCATTATATATGTGAAATATTCAACGAGAAACAACTATATACTTGCTAGATACGTGGAACATTACTTTAAGAATGAACACTGAGGAGTCTACACCCTCAGAAAATTCTCTTCTAAATACTCTTAGTGATTTGAATTCACTTTTATGAATACAGAGTTGCTGTGAGGCTTCGTTTATTTTACATAGTGGTTTCGTTGCCAATTTTTGTCCTACTTCCATTTGTGTGATTTTCCACATCATTTAGGAAACTTGGCATAATAAAGTGTCCAGAGCTGGGATTCATATTTAGGAAACTAAATTTCTCATTAATAAAAAAAATATACTAACTAAGCCCATATCTCATCCCAGAGTAAATGGTCTTTAAAATAAGGAAAAGCTAACTATTGAGGGGAGATAAAAGTGGCGTTTGCATTTAACTTTTGTTTGAGTGACATTGCATAACACTCAAGCAACTAACCAGAATGTTACCTCTGACTGTTGCTTTGGAGGGCATTTTAATTACATGTAGGAATTTATTTGAATCATCAGTTTTACTGTTACAGCCAAATCACTCATTTATGGGAATATCTGCCACCAGGCAGTAGATTAATAACTGTAGAAAAACCACATCAAAAGGTCACTTCGAACCTCAGATCAGAATCTGTGGTCTGCTGAATTTTGCAATCTACCAGCGTTTGAAGCTTCTCTTGGTAATGTGATCCCTAGGACAATAGCAGGGAGCTGCAGACATGATAATTAGGACAACCCCAAAGTGAGCCCTTCTGACCTCAGTACCAGCCTCCATCTACAAAGGACGGGCATTGGTCAGCCGGAGCCCACATTGGCAGAGGAGCCCCTTTTCAGTGATACACATGGTGGGAAAATATGAGGGTGGAGACCCTTTATTTTCTCCATAAAGATTGGAAAAGCAGGCTGGCTTGGAGCCTGGACCACAGCACTTGGGAGGGCTCTTTATGGGGAACCACAGCAGAAAGGAATTCTCTCTACTGGTGAATTCTTCTGGCCCTCTGCACTGTCATTCCTGGAGCGCTTCAATTATTCCCTGCTCACTACCCCCGCCCTGGCGCCCCACGTCACCCCAACACTTTTTACTTGAAACATGTGTTACTACTAGAAACAGGGCACCATGGGCAGCTTTGGGTTTGGACGCCAGGGACCAAATTGTCAGCCTCTTCCAGAGACTATTCAAGGAGTTAACCAGAGTGAGTCTGGCCTCCTGTGGACCCCAGCGGTTTTTTGAATAACAAAGACTTAGACACTGGAAAGTACATTCAGACCAGGAGCCAAGAATGGAATGGGGCAGATCATTGAAGAGGGATAACTGGTGGGAGACTTGGACCTGCAGGCCCCTTTCTGCCAATGCTGGCTGAGTTACAAATGCGCCGTTTGGGCCAGGTTTTCGAAGAAGCCAATCTCTTGGTGGTAAGGCACAGCGTGGCTTTGCTTCCTGAACTGGAGTTTCTTAGCCACAGCACTCTGCAGCATGCATATCCTCCTGCCCTCCTTTCCCCACCTTCCCCCCATGGGAACCAAGTCCCCAGTCTCTGCAAAGTAACACTGAGAAAACAAATACTACAAAGGCTGGTAACGGGGTATCACTCCCCAGTGTTTTCTTGTGACCCGCTGGGTTCAAGGAGGAGGGGGTCCCTCAGCCCCAGGAGCCAGCAGGGTCCCTTTGTAGTAGGTATCTGTATGTTTGGCCAGATGTCCTCCCAGGAGAGGGCAGAGAAGAAAAGATGAAACAGAATTCTTATTAAAAATAAGTCTTCAGGGGGAGAACAACAAGCCAGAGCAAATGTGTCAAGTGGAAAGGGAGCCGGGCGCTGGCATCTGCTGTTGATTAACGCCCATAGAGTGGGCAGTGAGGTGCGCACACTGGGAGGAAGCACCCTGCTCTCTGGAATGCAAGCTGGTGACAGCTGTCCCGGAGCCGATCTGCACAGATGCCACAGGCATAGGCCACCCAGTGGCGACCCTGTGCTAGGACGCAGATGGGACCAGAGGGACAGACGCCTGCACTGGAGCCAGGTGGTGTGGCTGATGATCCCGCTTCCCTGCAAAGGGTTTCACTTTTCTCATCAGTAACATAGTGGTGCTTGACCACATGACGCTGGTGCTGCCCTCTTAAGGTCTCAGACTCCAGGAGCTTCCTTCGTCTCTGTTTCCACCAAATCTTCCGAGCCTCTTCTGGTGGGACGTGAAAAATCACCTTGGAGAGGTATAAAAAGCCCTGCGCCATGATCCTAACATGCAAAACGAAAATGTGCAGAACCATGAGTGTCATCCAGTCCTTCCACAGGAAGTGGGTCTAGTATTCTTGTCATCCTTCTGTTTTACAGTTGCCACACACACACAAATGGATTGTTTCTTAACATGGAATGTGACATGCTTGTGGGCTCACTTATACTCCTCCTCTCCCAGTTTCAAAAATACATTCACCCTTACTGGATGTAAGGGGTATTTGACTTTTTTTTTGGTACTAGGGATCGAACTCATGACCTCGAGCTTACCAAGCAGGCGCTTACGCTTATGCCACTGAGCTAAATCCCTGGCCTGTGTTTGACTCATTTTAAGCCACCAAGTTACAGAAAGTAGAAGAGCAGGTACCTTTGTGTTTGCATTTGTGTTTTGTGTGTGCACACACACGTGTTTATCCTTAGTTAAGAGTGACTACTGAAAGTTTTCAGTAAATGTCATGGAGACAGCAGTATTTTAGGACCAGGTAAGGCTGACTCCCAGTGGGAATGCAAAAGGAATCTTCCACTAAGAATAAATGGTCTCAGACTAGAACGGTGGCAGTGGGCTGGAAATGATGTGCAGACACAGGGTCCATGACACGGCAGAGAGACCGTGGCCTGGGGAGTCCCACCCAGGTTGCAGCCTGGCCACGAGATGTAGCGGGCATTATGTCAGCACTCACCAACACGCCTCCTTTCTGACTTACAGATGCTGTGTTAAGTATCCCACCAGAGGATGGTTCAGGCAGGAAGTTAATAGCAAGATAATGGAGTAATGATAAAAGTATCCTGCACAAAGATTAACAGAGCCAGTGGCTGACTGAACTGGAGAATACATCTAAGAGAAGAATTCGTGGTGGTGTTGAGTTTAACCACTCAGGGGAATGAGATTGTCCCCAGGTGGGGCGGGGTGGGGTGAGTTGGAGATCTGTTTTGGCAAGGCCAGCATTGAGGTCAGTTTTGGACGTTAGCAGGGGAACTGAGATATACATCTGACTATTAGAGAAGGTTGGAAAGGAAAAGCAATAAATATATGGAAGAATTATAACACAAGTATTCGATTTATTCTAGATCTTTTTGATGAATGAGTCTGATTTTTATAGTCTCACCTCCAAGGAATTAGCTAACCGCATAGTTGGTCCAGCCCACCCATTTTCTAAACTTGATCCCTCATTCCCAGGCCAGCCAGGGGACCAGGCATCACATGACCCTGGCACAAGCTGAACTCAAACCTACCGCATCGCAATCTGCATTTCAGCGCTGCGTTAGGGGAAGCACTTTAAAGTTTCAGCAGCACATGCTAAAGCGCGGTGGGAAGCGTGCTGACACACGTTGGCATCACAGGGAACCTGCCAGGCACCCACATTCTCAGGCCTCCTGAGTCAGAGATGCTGCCGTAATGAGCCCTTCAGCTGACTGTCGTGTACCCGTAAGTCTGAGAAGCGCTGGTCTAAGCCATGAAACAGATGGATCAGGCCCCTTCTCTTGTGTATGTAGCCCAGAATGCTGGGGTTGAACCCTGGGAGCTGTATTTAAGTCATTGTCCTGTGCTATTCCCATCATCATTTTGCATTGAACACAGCTGAAGAACTCTTTTCACAGGACAGTCTGTAAAATTACAAACCAATGGAAAGAAAGCTTGACAACAGCTTAACCCTCATGCTTTCCCCATCAGAAGTGATAAGCGCAATTATAAGAAATCAGTGCTTTATGTGCTGTCACTTCTGGGGGACACCATTAGTAAGACACACATAGGGGACCTGGGCAGGCAAACAAGTGTCTGCTGACACGCTGGTGCTCTGAATAATGTGATTTTCATATTAAAATGGCCACAGCCTTTGTCTTCTGTGTTTCTAATCAGTCAGATGGAAAGTCTTTATGGGTTTTTTGTGGGGTCACTTTCAGCAAGGATGCTGGTTTACCACTTAGACTGGACTGATTTGCAAGAAGTTGAACTGTGTGTAGTGAAAATTTACCTCCTGTCATCAGAAATGTCTGGGGTTTCTATTTGTTTCATAGTCATTATTCCAATTACTGTGATAACTAAGGATCAATATCTGGTTTTGTGTACTGTATTATACAAACAAAAGTGGTTATGTAATGAGCACTTAATCATAAACTTATGTTTTCTGCTGTAGGTTCTAGTATATCACGAGCAGTGGCACGTAGATAAATCAGTAATTTTACTAGTGTGTGCATGGGTGTGTGGTGTGCTAATTTGTAGTGTTTGCGAATTTCCATGGTGTAAATCCTCCCTCTAGGGCTGCTCTCATCCACTATTGGTTTAACGACCACAGTTCCTGCAACTATAATAATCAGCTATCACAAGCCAGGGGGAGCCAGCTCTTGCTACCACTGAAGCATCATCAAGGGACAAGAGACAGGGTTTTTATGGTTGGTTGGTGGGTTGGTTGGGTTTGAATTGCTACAGGTCTGTCCAATAAGGTCTGAGACAAGACAATTTGGGTATTTAAATCGTGTTTATTCAAACTATAATTATCATAGTGGCATCTGTTCTGTTAAGACGAAGTTCTGTGGTGTTTTAAAATCCCATTAAATGTAACAACACAGTGTAATACTGAGAGGGCTTGCATTGCTGTGACAGCAAGTTAAATTTTTAAATACTTTTGGTAGTATAATAAGGCACACATAAAATTATTCTTAGTCACAGTGTTTGACTCAGAATGCAAAAGATTACTGTCTGAAATGATGTTTTAGTTTATTAATATTCAAATTTGTCTTCTCTTGCAGGTATTCAGGAAGGAACACAATGTACCAAGTGTAAGAATAACTGGGCACTGAAGTTTTCTATCATATTATTATACATTTTGTGTGCCTTACTAACCATCACAGTAGCCATTCTGGGATATAAAGGTAAGTACTCTGCATAGGTTTCTCTTCACTAATTTAAGCTTGCAAGTACGGAGCAAGGCCGACCCTCAGCACTGGTTCTGCCCCTCCCATATCCGAATCCGTGGACTGGAGTAATATTTCCGTACACCTACATACATCCTCCACTATACATTAAATGTTCTCTAGAGTACCTATTTACTTCGTACACTGCAAATGCTATATAAATAGTGCTCATACCAAATTATTTAAGAAATAATAACAGAAGGGGCCAGGTATTTAGCTCAGTGGTATAAGTGCCTGCCTGGCAAGCATAAGGTCATGAATTTGATCCCTGGTATCAAAAAAAAGAAAAGAAAAGAAACAAGAAAAATGTGAACTTTTCAGTATCAATGCAGGGTCTCCCCCCCCCCAATAGATAGATAGCTTTTTTTTTTATCTGTTTAAGGCAGGGTCTTGCTATGCAGTTCAACTTGGCCATGAGTTCACTTTGTAACCTAGGTTAGTCTCGAACTCACAATGATTCTCTTGCCTCAGCCTCCTGAGCCCCAGATATTTTCAATCTGACGTTGGCTGCATCCAAGGATGCAGTACTCACAGATACCCAAGTCTGTCCTACACTGTAACTCCCATGTAAAATTCAGCATCCTCTTGAGCGCTGGCCCTGCATCCTGTGCGTCTTGTAGTTTAAGGCACCTTTCGACTCATTTCAACAACACTGATGGTCCTCTAGGAATTAGATTTTCCCCTTTGTTGCTTTTTCCTGCCTGTCTCCAGATACTCCACCTTCCTCTATTTGTCTTTTCTTCTTATCACAAAGGGCTCTGTGGAAACCGGAGTCAGCCCACAGGCAAAGGCTCCTGGTAGGAATGAGCAAAACATAAGCCCGAAATACAAAGCTCATTTCACCCAGGGGTGGGCCAATTCCTTCCCTTCTTCCTCTTCAGCACCTCTGTTGTGGTTACAATTGTTCCTATAGCGTCATAAAAATATTGCCCTGTTGAAACAAAATACAGGCAGCACAGTCACCTCAGTCTGCTTTATAAATAAGAGACCTACTTGTGTCAAGTTTAAGGGGAGCAGATTTTTAATTGAATTCTCCAGACATGCAGACAAAGTAGTTTTCCTAGTCTGCCACTGCCTTTCCAGAGACCACAAGTAGAAGGTGCCAGGATTCAGTCACAAGCTACAGAAACCTCTCAGAGAAAACAGCCGTGGAGGCCTTCTCATCAGTCATGGCCCTGATGGTCTGGGTGTAGCACAGAGGTGGCCGATGTAGGGGCTCACTCTCAGCAGCCACCGCAGGCTGTCTTCCGTCAGAACTGACATGAGCTGACAGGGTGCTGCTTGCCTATAATCCTGGCGTATTGGAGGCTGAGGCAGGAGCATCACAAGTTCAAGCCAAGCCTGAGCAACTTAGTGCAACTCTCTGAAAAATAGTTTGTTGTTTTTTTTTTTTTTTGTTTTGTTTTTTGTTTTTTTTTTTGAGCGCTGGGGATCTAGCACAGTGCAAAGGCCCTAAGTACCCAGTACCACAGACAACTTGGCAGTTGAGCTGAGTGTGATTCCCACTTGATCTCTCCTTTCTTCCTTAGCCCACAGATCTGAGCTAGGAAGAGAAAGATACAGAGTGCACTCCTTTCCCCACCTTCCCAGTGTCCTGTGAATCCCCAGGAGACAGCTCAGGAGGCTGAGAGTGGGCTTTGAGACCAGATGTATGAGTTCAGGTATTTGAGTATGTTCAATAAGTGCCCCACATTAAGTCCTCTCTGACTCTAGGGCCCACGTGCAAATGATCATGACCCAGAGGCTCTGATTGCCTATCTATAAAATCGCAGCACCGTGCCATTTTTTAGGCTGGTCCATATTGCAGGTGATCCCGGCCAGCAGGGACTGGAATGGCCGTCTATCCCCTGCATCTAAACAGCTGTGACTGTCAGGATGGTACAACATGTTCAGAGCCCACATGCCAGTGAGGCTTTTTAGTCCTAGCCACAGAAGGCAGCTTGCAGCATGCGTCTGAGTGTGTTGACAGATGAATTTGGGCAGCTGGGATTTGGAGAATGATCAGATCATTTATCCATTCGTGATGCACTCATTTACCTGAAGAGCCTGACACTTTTTAGGTGAAGCAGCACACGCAAAGATGAGGACATGCACATGGTCAGGAGCAGGGCTGGGCCCTGCCGCAAGGAGGGAGAGAGTCCCTGTCCCTGCCATTCGTGCTGGCTGTCTCACTCCTCGGTGACTTATGTCACTGCTCATGCTCTGTGCCTTTTCTCATTCCACCTGAACGGCTCCTTCTGCCCTTCGCATCCTGAGCTGTGTGTCCTGCACAAGGCCCCTCACAGACTTTAGTGCCTCCTGTTCCCCCTGTGCTGTTTGCCCCTTGTCCCTGCCACACTGTAGTACTGGGCCTAGGTGTCATGTTTCTGTGGAAACTGTTTATTATGTCTCCTGCTAGGACCAGCTCCCTGGTACCTACCTGACAGGTGCTAAGGGAAGTGACTGAATGAGTTGTTGGGTAGATGGATGAGTGGATGGGTAGAGGGTGTGGACTGATTTCCAGGAAGGTGCCTCGAAGGGTTAGGGTTAGGGTTAGGGTTAGGGTTAGGGTTAGGGTTAGGGTTACACCCAGGCATCAGCTCGGCCTGCTCTGGGCTCCAGCTCTCACCAGGTTGGCAAGGGAAAGCCCCTGACAAGCAAGGACAGTTGTCCCCCTTCTCTGTCTGTCCTTCAAAGTCCCGCACCCCTTTCTCAGTCGTCCGCTGACAAGGAAGATGATGCAGCGCTCACTTCTGGTCTCCACACAGAGCCGCAGTGAACTCAGACGCAATGCTTTCCAGCGGCACTTTCTCTTTCCCTCCCGTGCACTGCGATGCCTCTTTCTTGCTGATTAGATTATGCCAACCCAGTCTTGTAAGAGGCAGAAGGATAAGGCCCAACTCATCCTTCACATGTCTGCCTTTGATGGCTGGGAGAACTTCCTCCATTGAAAAAAAAAAAAAAGCAAAAGAATATTCAGTACAAGAAGTTTCTCTGAAGGAGCAGTTCAAAGGAAACAAAACTCCTTTACTGTTTTTATTTTGTACCAGGGATCAAACTCAGTGGTGCTTTATACTGAGCTATACCTGAAGTTCTTTTTAATCTTTTGAGATAGTGTCTTGCTAAGTTGGCCAAGCTCACTTCAAAGGCGGAGTCCTCCTGCTTCAGCCTTCTTCTACCTGGAATTACAGGACAAACACCGCTGTGCCTGCAAAACTCCTCTATTTATCAGAGTTGGCAAAGGCGACTCCAGCTGTTTTCCTCCAACCATTCTTTGCTCTTTCTTTCTTGTCCCTCCCAGAGCTACAAGTTAGGATAGAATGAAGTTTCTGCTAGAGAATCTGTAGTAAGCCAGACAGTGGTTCAGTCACCAGACAGGGTCTGTGCAGTAGCTTTGTAGAAACCCTGTTTGCACAGTTTCAGCTTGGCACATCCTCTGCCCTGCACTGCTTATGAGTAGTTAGTGGGGCTTCTGGCCAGGAGCCGTCCTGAAGGTTTAGTGAGTCGTGTTTCTTCCAGAACATTCTCTGAATGGGAAAACCCCACTCCGTCACCCTGCCCAGCAGGTGGCCTTCTTAAGGTAATTGGAGTAAAGAGAAAAGACAGAAATCTGAGTCCTTGGTCTCATCTAACAGAACACTCCGAGTTGTGGCATGTCTGTTGCTACTAAGATCAACCAAAATTTCAATGTCTTTTTTGCTGTTGCTCTTTTTTGAGATAGGGTCTCCCTAGGTATTCAGGCTGGCCTTGAACTCATTGTGTAGCCCAGGTCTTCCTGCCTTAGCCTCCTGAGTACTGGAATTAAAGTATCTGACACCACACCCTGCTCTAAAATTGCAATTTCAATAGGGTAAGTGAGCTTTCAAGATGCACCTCAAATCACCCTCTAGAGCTGTCTGGAGCCAGGGTAGAACCCTAAAATAGTTTCTATTTTTCTGTGCTGCAATCTGAAATCGCGTTTAGGGTAGTGATGGCCCTGCTGAGTCCCAGAGCATCCCGAGCATGACTGCAAGTTCCAGGAGCCAGTGGGAGGGCAGGTTTCTCTGTGTTCTGCAGTCAGTCAGGTCCTCGCCCTGTGAGCACCAGGGGTGAGCCCTGTGCTCTGTCTTTGTCCCCGACCCTAAAGCTAGGACTACGTGGCCTGTGTCTGTTGAATCCTCAGTGGCTAGAGTTGTGCCACTTCTGTTGCAGATGCTTAGTAGACATCTAATGACACTGTCTTGGAAGAAAATATAAAGTGGTCATAATCCTCCTCCTCAAGGGTCTCTACTGCAGGAGCCCAGAGTGAGGAGAAAGCAGTGCTAAGTGAAAAGCGAGGTGGAGTTGTAGGGTAAAATGGGAGCCTGGTAGGTAGCCCACCTTGTTACAAGCTGTGTGACTGTGAGCCAGGCACTGAGCATCTCTGAGCCTCGGGGCCATCAGAAACACAGGAAGTGTAAGATCAACTGCAGTCATGGTGCAGTAGCCATGGTAAAGAATGGGAAATTTTCTTCTCTATTACTGCTACTCAGATGAAGGTTCAGCTGGCATGCTCTACAGTCAGGTTGTAGGCAGTGCTTATCACTATGGGCAGCCCCAAGAGCCAGGCGCACACCACTAACCCCAGCACTGGGGGTGGGGGCAGGGGATCACTATGAGTTCAAGGCCAGCCCGGACTAAATAGTAAGCTTTAGCCAGCTTAAACATATAGCAAGACCCTGTGTCAAAGATAGGGGGAAAAAGACAGAGGGGGAGAGACAAGGGAAGAGGTTAGTGGCCAAAAAACATCAACGCGTTTTTGGTATTATTGCCACATTAGCCTAAGAAATTAAGCTTTGGGAATAATGCCTGAAACCTTAGCGTCCTGAAAAAAAATTCCATGTGGAGAAACAGGCCCCATTAAAGGGGAAACTTGGTGATCACTAAAAACCAAGAACCATGTGTGCAGGCACAGCAAGGGGCAATCTGGTCCCTGGCAGCAAACACCGGGGATCGAACTCATTACCTTGGGCTTGCCAGGTAGTATTTACGTCACTGAGCTAAACCTCCAGCCCCCAGCCATGCTATTTTTATGCACGAGCAAGCTGCCTGCATCACATCCCTACACTCTGGAGCTTTAGATTCAGACCCTCTTTTTAAATGCAGGCACAGACACACACACGCACGCACGCACGCACGCACGCACACAGTTTAGGGCTGTTTATTTGCACTGTGGGCGGGGCAGAGAATTTCCTTGCCACGCGGAAGATAAAGCTAAGTTTCTCGGGTTTTCTTTGGCTTACTACTCTTTTACACTAAGCAAACCTGAATTATTTGTCCACAACTGTTGTGTGTTTTTGTAAACTAAAATGGAAGAAAAATTAGAAAGGGTAGAAAAGGACTGACTCAGCCTACTTAGAGGTTTCTTTGGCTTCCAGGAAAAGGCAGACTTGAGATCCTGCATGTGGTCTGAGGGCAGACTGAGGCATTTGTTTTGATTTGGGAATCAAAACTGAACACAAACCGTAAACATTTCATTTTTTAAAAATTTGGCTTTGCTTAAATGTGTGTGACACTTTTTGTTCTTCGGCATTTCCAGGAATTTAGCAGTATGCGTGCCTGTTACAACACAAAGGTACACATTCCTCTCTAACTGGGCCTCTGTGTCTCTACAGTCATCTCAAAAACAACGATTATTCAACAGCTTGTCTCACTTGTGCAGACTGAAATTTTTCCCGGCTGCTTGGTTTGACGTTTGTTGCAGGACAGTGGCCTCAGCCAGCCCCTGGCAGATGCTCAGTTACTTAAATAAATGCCACCGGAAGTGTGTGTCACATAGCTTCCTGCTAAGAAATGGAGATAAAAGTGCACACAGCTGGGCGTGGTGGTGCATGCCTGTAATCCTAGCACTCAGGAAGCTGGAGGAGGAGGAATGTCACAAGTTCAAGGCCAGCTTGAACTATATAGGGAGACCCTGTCTCAAAAAATAAAAATACAATAAAACAAAAAACTGAATTCAAGTAGTTTACCACTTATGACAGTTCTGCTTAAGACTTTTAAATTTTATGATGGAGTGGAAGCAGGACACATTCAGGGGAAACCATGAACTTTGATTTTTCAGTTTGGCTCTTTTCCTGGTCTAGCAGTAGGTAACAGGATCCTCTTCTGCCATACGGGATGGTGGCAGCGATCGATCTCGAGGGTAAACTGCCCGCTTCACGGTGTGCTGCGTGGCCTGATGTTCTATAGGTTAGGCAGCTTCCGGGCACTTCCCACTTCCAGTATTTTCAACTTGTAGCAAGTTTATTAGGACAGCAGCCCATGGTAAGTCAAGTCTGTACAGACTGGCCCCACAGAGAACAGGCCATGACCACACAGCACAGCAAGTCCTGTGTGGGGCACAGGCTCTGGCCTTGAGGATCCTGCAAGCCTGCTCGGCAAAGGTTCCCGTGGGCGGCCAAGTCCTGCAGCACAAGACAGGCAGAAATCAGTGAGGGCAGGGAGGGGGAAGCAAGTGTGGGAAGGGAGGGCACTGAGGTGACTGTGGCCAGACACAGGTGCTTGAGGGAAGCGAGTGAGCTGCTCTGGGAGCACTGGGCATCCCACGCTGAGTCATGCTGGGTCACACTCACTCATGGGAACTTTCTTCTCCTGCCAGGGAGGAGCCAAGAGGATCTTCCTGTTTGCTCATGCGTGGGTAGAGCTCTTGAACAGTGTAAACTGTGTTAGTCAGCCTGAAGTTAGTACACAAAACAGATTCATGCTTTTTATAGGTCACAGATCAAGCAGAAGTTTGTTGATACCAAAGACAGCCCTCTACCAAGCACAGTGGCACATGGAACATTTTACATGGCACAGACTACTAACCTTTCTTGTTGTACAATCGAGAAAATGCAAAACATGAAACAAAAGTCCTCCTGGTAGATCACTGTTGGGAAGCACCACTTAGGGCTGTGGGTGAGAACTGCCAAAGTTCAGACAGGAGTGTCGCAAAGGAGACAGCATTGGGGACCTCTGCAACTGAACTCGTGACAGGGAGTGGTAGGCACTGTTGACTGCTGTTCCTTTGGGGGTGCCCTGTGCAGCTGTGAGCTCGGGGAACTTTGGCAGTGGAGTAGTCTTCTAGCTAAGTAAGTCCCACTATCAAGAATGCCAAGTAAGCTGGTGAGTGATGAGTGTCTGTCAATTGTCAATGATCACTGTGTTTCTATCCCTACCTCCATGTATAGAAATTAACAAATACTGCAGATTAAGGACTTCTTTAATATATACAAACTTTAAATTAGTCAAACAGTTTTTGAAGCTTCCAAGGCATTGCAGAATTTTAAGAAGTTTTTGGTGAAGTAAATTACACTATTGGGTTTTGTGACAAGTTTTTTCTTTTTCTAAGGGGTAATTTTTCCTCATATTTTACTATGATTTTTCTTTCTTTCTTTTGAGATAGGGTCTCACTGTAGTTTAGACTGGCTTTGAGCTCACTATGTAGCCCAGACTGGCCTGGAACTCACAGTAATCCTCTTGTCTCAGCCTCCTGAGTGCTGGCATTACAGGCGTGTGCCACCACACCCGGCTCCCCACTGCATTTTTTTCCTGTCTTTTAGAGACAGGGTCTCACTGTGCAGTTCAGCTGGCCTTGAGCTCACTTTGTAGCCCAGGCTGGTTTCAAACTTGCAACCCGCCTGCCCCAGCCTCACAAGTGCTGGCATTACAGGCATGCACCACCATGCCCAGCTTCCCTATATTTTAATTTATACCTTTTGTTTTAATCTGTTTCCTTTGTTCTGTGATGAAATGACATGCTGTTCTGAAACTGAAAACTGAAATATGACCACGTGTGAGACTAATGCTATTTCCCAAATCTTAGTTGTAGAGAAAATGGACAATGTGACAGGCGGCATGGAGACATCCCGGCAAACCTACGATGACAAACTCACAGCAGTGGAAAGCGACCTGAAGAAATTAGGTAAGTAGCAGCAAGAGGAGTCACAGAGCGAATCCCCAATTCTACATCAGTGATGACAGCTTTTAGACTTGACGCTGCTAAAAACTCCCACTTACACAGGAAGACATTGAGTCTTGGTACTGTGTGTTGAGTCTTCATGATTTAATTCAATGACTTTCAAATTTTAAGCCAAATGACCAATCTTGGAGACTTCTGCTGCCCAAAACTGTAAATACAAGTAATGCCCTGGCATAATGGAATAGGCCTGTAATTCTCGCACCCTGGGGATGCTGAGGCAAGGGGTTTGTAAATTCATGCCCTGCCTGAGAGACTTAGTGAAACTTTGTCTTGAAATAAAGTAAATAACTAAGTATGGCCAGGATGTAGCAAAGCATGAAGGTTTAGATTCAACCGCTACTACCAATAAGCGTATAAAGAAATGGGAGGATGGATGGATGGAGCTTGGTACAAGGACACTGGGTTTGATCCCTGGTATGAAAAAAAAAAAAAAAAACTCCTTACTAAAGGCTCTTTGATGAAATAGTGATTTCCTATTCAAAAAAAACTTTTTTGTCTTTTTGAGACAGGGTCTTGCTATGTAGTTCAGGCTGGCCTTGCACTCACTTTATAGCTCAGGCTGGTCTCGAACTCATAGCAATGCTCCTGCCTCAGCTTCTCAAGTGCTAGGATTCAAGAATGCACTCCCATGCCTGGATTTAATTGAAATATTTTTAAATGCATGAAATTGTAGAATTTATAAAATAAAAGATCTCAGTCTTCTATTCTTTGATTTTTGGATTTGAAAGGTGGTTGCATACTAGTAAACTATCTCTGGGATCTTTGACCTTATCAGAAAAACCTCTCCCTTCTACCAGTCTTACAGACATTTCTTGTTGCAGGGGACCAAACTGGGAAGAAAGCTATCAGCACCAATTCCGAACTCTCCACATTCAGATCAGATATTTTAGATCTTCGCCAACAGCTTCGTGAGATTACAGAAAAAACCACCAAGAACAAAGACACACTGGAGAAGCTGCAGGCTGGTGGGGATGCGCTGGTAGACAGGCAGAGCCAACTGAAGGAAACTCTGGAGAATAATTCCTTCCTTATCACCACTGTAAACAAAACCCTCCAGGCATACAACGGCTACGTCACGAATCTGCAGCAAGACACCAGTGTGCTGCAGAGCAACCTGCAGAACCAAATGTACTCCCATAACGTGGTCATCATGAACCTCAACAACCTGAACCTGACCCAGCTGCAGCAGAGGAACCTCATCACCAACCTGCAGCGATCAGTGGATGACACCAGCCAGGCGATCCAGCGCATCAAGAATGACTTCCAGAACCTGCAGCAGGTTTTCCTTCAAGCCAAGAAGGACACCGACTGGCTGAAGGAGAAAGTGCAGAGCTTGCAGATGCTGGCTGCCAACAATTCCGCCTTGGCCAAAGCCAACAATGACACCCTGGAGGATATGAACAGCCAGCTCGGCTCATTCACAGGTCAGATGGACAACATCACCAGCATCTCACAAGCCAACGAGCAGAACCTGAAGGACCTTCAGGACTTGCACAAGGACGCAGAGAACAGGACGGCAATCAAGTTCAGCCAGCTGGAGGAGCGCTTCCAGCTCTTCGAGACAGATATTGTGAACATCATTAGCAACATCAGCTACACGGCCCACCACCTGCGGACGCTGACCAGCAATCTCAATGAAGTCAGGACCACTTGCACGGATACCCTGACCAGGCACACGGATGACCTGACCTCCTTGAATAATACACTGGCCAACATACGCTTGGATTCTGTTTCTCTCAGGATGCAACAAGATATGATGAGGTCGAGGTTAGACACTGAGGTAGCCAACTTGTCAGTGATTATGGAAGAAATGAAGCTCGTGGATTCCAAGCACGGTCAGCTGATCAAGAATTTTACCATACTGCAAGGTATGTGCATGGTCTGAGTTGTGGAGATCTGATATTCTGTCCTCACTTTCATTCAAGCTGTTGCATCTACTTTCAATGGAGTTTGTAATTGCCTGGATTTCTCTTTGGGTCTGTTTCACTGATTGATAGTTTCTATCGTTTTCCTCAGCTCCTCTATTTTTTTATGTGTCTTCTTTAATGCCATTCATTTTGAGCATTTCTTTTTCCATCTTAAGATTTTTTTTCTATAGCCTCTTTTTTCCCCCCCACCATTTCTGCTGCTGTCATTTCAGAGAGTTCCAGCAGTAATTGGCTTCCCATTTCCTCTCTTCGTGCTCTGGACTTGTCCTGTGTAGGCTGGGGTTGCATTTGCTTGTTTGTCTTGTTTACTTTTTAATTTTCTGCATTGATAGTTGTAGATTTTCTTATGTTATAAAAGCTTTATCCATGGTAGCGCGAGGATTCCTTTGGAAATCTCTGCTCTTCAGGGTGTCTACTCGATGTGTTTCTTGGCTTTTATGTCCATCTCGAGAACCTACCTTCCCAATATATTAAAATTGTGAAGTTGCTGTTTGACTTGGTTATGATCCCTTACAACCACAGTGTTGTCATACAAGGGAGAAAAATTGATTATAACAGGTATGACATCCTGGTTAAAACAGTATAGTAAGCAACAGCATTACACTCAAGCACAGCTTGGCTGCTAACAAGCTGTGGTAACTATTGGTTTGATGCCATCAACCATAGGAGCAAGTTACACAATATACTCTTAACTTTTACCAGGGACTTGTGTGCCACGATTTTGCACTTACTAGAGTGATTTTACCCTGTGGTGTGTGCGGCAGTTAACAGGGATGCGGGTAGAATGAAGAGATGAATTAGTTTAAATACAGTAGGAACAGGGCTGGAGGGTAAAGGGTGACCTTGCAGGTTTGGGGTAATTATAGGACACAAGAGGGAAGGGTTGGCAGAGAAAACCTCCGAGCATTGATGTGAACCTTAAGGAGAAGAGACAGTGTATTCACTCATAAAATCAAGTGAGGTAATTGACAAAAAGCAGGAAGAAGATGAGTAGAAGTAAACCAAAAGAAAGGTTAGAGATCTAAGTCATGAAAGGAAGAAGAAAAACAAACAGAAAACCACAGAACAAAAATGACTGCACACAGAAAAAAACGAAGAAACAAATAAACACATAGAAAAGGACAAAATAGAACAGGGAAATAAAAGGTGCGGGGAGGGCTCCACCATGTCTAGTTCTGAATTTTGTATTCATTATTTCTGTGCAACAGATTACTCCAGAACTTGGCACTTACAGCTGTGTTTGTTTTCTCGTTGTTTGTGAGGATCTGGGGTTCGGTAGGGGCTCAGCAAGTTGGTTGTGACGTGGCGACTTCGTGAGGTTGGAGGCTACTGACTCAGGCTGGCATGCTCCGAAAGCCCGGCTCTGCCTTCTTCACTTGGTGCCTGGCACAAGGGCTTAGCTCCTTCCCATGTGAAACTGCTTGTATGTGGTCACAACCTGGCAGCTGGCTGTCCCCAAAGCAAGTGACCTGAAGGGGCAAGAAGGAAGCCATAGGGCCTTCTAGGGTCACACCTCAGACGTCCCGTATCACTGCTGCCAGAGTAGCCTGTTCGTTAGAAATCAGTCTCCAGGTTCAGCCCACACTCAAGGGGAGGGCAATTATTCTGCACATCTGGAAATGGGGGATAAACAAAGAGGATCCATTAGTTGTTCACTGAATGCAAGGTCGGGTAAGGTCGACTTTCTCTTTCCTCCATTTCAGTCCCAATACCCATCCAGCTCCTCTGAAAGTAAGATTACTTGCCTTAAGTCACAAAGCTACCATTAAGGGATGACTAGTTCCAAATGCCCTTAACAGAGGGATGGCTGTCAAATAACTGCCAGGCAAGAGGATAGAACTGATGTGATTTCCATATAAAATTGGGGTTTTATTCAAATCCAGGTCATCCATAATAATTGGAAGTCCTTGACCTAGATTACGTCTGCTTTGTAAGAGTTGCAGCAAGCATTTATTAACAGTATTTTCTAGCTCAGCTGTGTCCACAGGTTTTAGTACATTCCCTCTGGCTTGAACCCCTGGTGGCACATGCATGACTGCCCCATCAGGTGACTCAAGATAGGACAGTCACCCATGTACTGCTGGTGCCCCACGCTGGCAGGAGCACAACACATTCACATTAGAGCCGCCCTGCTGGGAGACATCCGGATGACAATCCCATCATGAACGAGTTGAGGTGAAGGTACACTATAGATGATGCTCAGCTCGGCTGTCTGGGGTGTCCAGAGAAGCCCTTCAGTGGCTTAATATCAGGGAACTCTCCAGGCATCAAAAGATGGATACAAGCCAGCACAGACTTGGATCTCAGAGAGACAACTGACATGAATGAGGAACTTTTTTTCCAGCCTAAGACTTGAGATTATAAACAGATAATTTGTAGGGTTTCAGGCAACTTACCCTCAGCACAGTGAGCTCTCCAAGGAGAACGCAGGTGACCCTGTCTCACTTCCTCATACTGACAGCTGAGTCTAGCTGAACTGAACAGTGTGTCTGGATCTCACCGAGGCATCGGCAGTGACACCCTTAAGAATGAGGAGAAGCAGTGTGATCAGGTGAATGTACACAGCTTACACCAGCACGCATGTGTAGTCTCCTCCTGGTCTCTGTGGGTCAGATGCAGGTCCTCTGAGCCTGGGGTCTTGCCTAGATGCAAGTGTGTCAACACACCTGGGAACTCTCACTGCCACAGAAGCTGGACTGAGGACACATCCAGTGCCATGCTCCCTCGAGTTCTTGGTGCAATTTTTTTTTTTTTTTTCTGAGATAGAGGTCTTGCTAAGTTCCCTGGGCTGGCCTCCGCTGTCATCATGATCCTGTTGCCTCAGCCTCCTGAGTGCTGGGTGGGATATAAGTGTGTGTTTCTGTGCCTGATTCACAGTTCGTTTTCTTGTCTGAGACTCCTGGTCTCCTTCTGGCTGTCATCTGGGGACTGCTCTCAGCTCTGCGGCCATGTGGTCACCTGTTGATAAGTGCAGCTTCTTCAGAGCCTGCCAGAGGCATCTCCTGCATTCCAGTTTGCTAGGTGGAGCCTTAAAAGTGGACCCTAGTGAAAGGGATGACTTCCCATCACCTTTGCCGTATCCTGTTGGTCAGAAGCAAGTCACAACGAGGTTCCACACACAATGGGAAGGGATAACACAAGGGAATGCATCACTGGGGGGCACCCTACGCTATGTCTGCCACATTGGTTGAATGACAGGGTACAGAGAGTACTAGTTGATGGATGCAGCTATCTGGAGAGCTGAGGCAGGAGGACTGCAAATTCAAAGCCAGGCTGGGCAACTTGGGCCCTGTCTCAAATAGAATTAAAAGGGTGGGGATGTAGCTCAGTGGTGGAGCACTTGCTTATAACATAGCAAGGCCCTGGGTTCAATCCCTAGTACCAAGAAAATAGAGAAAGAAAATGTGGTAGTTCCTGGGCTTGGGTGAGCCTGGAGGCAGGGCCCTGTTCAGTAGTTTTGTCTGTGACCAACATGAGGGCATGGTTGACTTGATGATCCAATCCTTCAGTGACACAAAACTGTACATCCTGATAAATGACAGATTCGTATTCGAGGTGATCCAAGAGGCCGACACACGGACAAATGTCAAGGGAGAGCCAGCCTGAGAGGCCGTGAAAAGGAAGGCCTTGCGGGACAGGGTTTCAGTCGGCTAGAAGCATACATGTGGCTTCTTGTATTACTGAGATGTGATGGTCAGTGCGGGGGGGATGCAGTCTTCCTCTCTTCTGCAGCCCTAGACGGTCTGCTCCAGGGGTGAGAGGATTTCGAGAGGAACATTCTCAGCTCAGCACGCTCAGGAGATGGCTTCCTGAGCAGTTTCCAGCCAGGGGAATCAGAGGTGGGAGTCCAGCTCTGAGTAGGGAGTGCACCTTCAAATGACAACAAAGTTCTTCAGGGCTTTGCTTTTTTTTTTCCCTTTTCTTCCTCACCCTAAATTCAGAGAATAAGGCTGTAGCCGACATTCATCCTTGTAAAATAAGAGATTCTACATGTTTCCTAGAACTGTAGTGCCTTAAACAATCCTGCCAGGGTCTATGAATGTTTCCTAGCTATGAATTTTATAGCTTGATGATTGAATTAACTATTAGCAGGAAGCTTCTAACATTTAGTTTATAGACAGTGTGGCTGGTTGGCTACTGTATGGTAAGTCTGCAGTTGAAGAAGAGACCTAGGGTGTTTACATTTGGTCCTTATTTTATTTTTATCAGCTAACACTGAGTGTTAGTGTACAGAAGGCTTTTCACAATCCATGCCAGTGAATTCTGCCAACAGCTCTGAAATGGTACTTAGAGTAAGACTTGGAGAAATTCCAGAAACTTCCTTGAGTTGGCACAAATGTAGCTACACAGGATTCAAGCCAGGCCTATCTAGTAAAGGTCCATGCCACTGACACCAAGGACAGTCACCCACAGTGTCTGTCCTGCTTGCTTCTCTTTCTCTCCTTACCGACCTCCTCTTCTTTGTTGTTTTTCGAGGCAGGTACTTGTTATATAGTCCAGGCTGGCCTTAAAGTCAGTGATCCTCCGACCTCAGCCTCCCAGGTGGTGGGATTTACAAGTATGTGCACCACAGCCAGCTTACTGCCCCCCTTTCTTGTTTCCTGCCACCCTAGAAGGAACCTAGAGGGATAAGAAATTGGGATTTTACTCTTAAGTGGTTTGTGGGAACACTGTCTGATTTATAGTCAAACTTTGGATTTCAAGTACAGTGGGACCTCAGTTTAAGAACCTGATTGTTTTGTGATTTGGGGGAAGGTTTGTGCTTGTGTGGGGAAGATGGCCATGGTCATATTTGTCATTCAATGCAAAGTTTGCAAAATGGAAGCAAAATTGTGCTGCTTTTGTTTCTGAACCCAACTGTTTGCAAATAGAACTGTTCATGAACCAAGATGTTACTGAACTTAGTCTGAGAATTCCACAAGATGAGCAAACGTTTCCAAGAAATTTGACATTGAATTGGGCGTGGTGGCACACACCTGTAATCCCAGCACTTGGGATGCTGAAGCAGGAGGATCACTGAGAGTTCAAGGCTAGCCTTGGCTACAAAGTGAATTCAAGCTTGAACCATATAGTGAAACCTTGCCTCAAAAAGAACCAAAAGAAAGAAAGAAATTTGACATTGATAAACTACTGATGTCTTCCAATACAAACAGATGTCACATGATCACCAACGGTTTTCTCCCCCTCTCGCTGCTTTGACATACAAGTGCTTTGGATTATAAGCAGCAGGAATTACTCTCACAAACCATGGTTTTACTATATATTATTCCTTCTAGATTCTGGGGCAATGCAGACTCAAGATGCAAGGGTGGAGGCAGGAACCAGTCAGAGCCAGACCAGCTGTGGGTGCCATGGACAGGACAGCAACCGTGGGGTGGGGGAAGCAGAGATTGGAGGCGCAGTCTGGGGCAGCCCTGTCCTCCCCTGGCAGCACAGCCACATGGGCAGGCTCTGCTGCAGGAGTCCTGACGGGTCTACCTGGTCAAGACCTTACAGAGACAAGACGCCTCAGGGCTCCATACCCATGCCACCCTACCCCTGCTTGTTTGGTGTCCAGCACACTGGAACTTAGTACCCAGCGTCTCCAGATCCAAGGGGTCAAATGAGAGGCGTGCGTGCCCTGGAGAGGCTGGAGGTGGTGTGGACAGAAACTGGACAGGGAGTGGGGTTGGTGTCCTGCTATGGATTGGCTGGGGGAGCGAGGAAAGCTGGAGATGGAGAGCTTAGTGCGAACTCCAAGATGGATGGTCCAGACGAGGGTGTAGAGAGGGAGGCGATGTCTGTTAGAACGCAGTCTCTTGGAAATGACCCAGCGCTCAGTTTCTGAGGGACACTCTTCTCTTGCACACATTTCCCCGTGCCACATCAATCCCTGCTCGGATTGCTGGTTGCACCTTCCAGGAGTTGCACTGAGACCAGCAGGACCAGCTTCCTCTGTACACAAGGAATAAAACTGTTCAGATGGGGTTTAGGTGGGCTCAGCTCCAACAGCCCTTCCTGCTGCCTTCTGGTGTCCCGCCCTGGAGACGAATCAGATTCTGTGCTGCCAAGGCTGGTCTCCTCCGGTCTACATCCATGCAGTCGTAAGAAAACTGCATTTGGTGATACCAGTGATCTTTTTCTACTTTGTCTCTCTTCTTCTGACCATACCACTAGAGAGGTTCTTAACATCAAGTTGCCAAGATTGTGGACAACAGTAATAATTAAAGCAGTTTTTCTACTTTCTGTTGGAAAACACATTTGAAACTTGTCCCAGGGTAGCACAAGGGGCTGTGTACTTTTTAAGGCCTGAAGTTTGATCACCAAAGCAGACAAGGCAGTGTTTTAAGTCTTGTGTCGCATTTGAACTGCTTGAGGATTGAGGTTTTCAAGGCTCCTGAAGTTCTGGAGTCTGGGGACCACATGGTGGTTTTGTTGGCAAACACAGGGCTGCTCCAGAGGCCTGATGTTGTTTTTGAGCATTTCTGGAGCTTGTGGCTGTTTTACCAGCCACGTGGGTATCTGAGCAGCTCAGATTCACAAGCCAGGAAGCCACCCACTAGGCCTGGACATTAGTCATAGTGTCAGTCAGTGTGCTCCCGCCAGGGCCATCACGTGTGCTGGCACATGTGGTACTGTTTTTCCCCACTCTGAATTCAAGTCCTTACCGTACAAGCTCGTAAATATCCCGTCATTTCATTCAGAGGGGCCTAAGACACGAGGAAGGCTTCTATTTTATTTTACTTTTGTTTCAATAAAAGATTCCAGTTAGACCTAACGCCCTAAGATCATCCGGATACTGGTGAGGCCAGCACCTCAGGCCCTGGAGGAAGCAGTCCTCCGGCATTAATGGTCTACTTAGTCTGAGGACCCAGTGCTGACCTTTACATTGCTTTTAGCTCTTGTTCTCAATGATTAAAAAAAAAAAATACAGTTTTAAAAAGCAATGGCAAATTCTTAGCCACGTAAAAAGTAGAGAATAGAATCCGTTTTCTTGTAGCAAACCTGCTGAGGGTGGAGGACTCACTTCCTGCAGGTTTTCTCAGGCTGTGAATGAAGACATCATGGTAACTGTAAGCATGCCCGTTTATCCACCACCGCAAATATTAACCTTTATCCTACTGGGACCGGCGTTTATCCCACTTGGAACGGATACTTGTAATGCTTCATGTGAAAAAAATCCATTTCCATACCAACCCAACTGGAAAATCCATCGCAAATATGATTTTAGATTTTTACTAAAGATAAAATCCTGCATCTTCTCCCTGTATCTACTCCCTTCCATTGCAGGCTCTGGAAATTAGTATCTGCTGGTGTTTTGTGCTGGCTTTGGGATCCCTGTTTGATGCCACCCTGCAAATAAGTCACAACTGCCACAAGGAATGGGCAGGGACATTCACAACCATTGGCAGTTTAGAGGGGAAGAGTTGAAACCCAAAAAGTACCCTACCGTGAACAAAATGAGTAGTGAAAAGCTGTCACTGCTTGTAAGAGAGGTCTCGGAGTCAGGGCAGAAGAGAGTGAGTGACCTATGTCTCAGAAACCAGAAGAAGGTGATCCAGGAGAAACACAACTCCTGGACTCAGGGGAGGGAGACCCCTCCCACCCCGCCCCCAACGGAGCTGTTTCTTTCATGGTTGCAGATAAACCCATTTCACTTACAGCACCGACTGCCGGTGCAAATGCTTGAGAAACTCATTATTGAAAAAACTTTGAAAGAGAATAACTCAGTTTCCCAACAGACCTTTCATTATTTGGATTTCTTGAGGTTAAACACAGAAAAAAAGCTATTTTCTTTTTTGTTTGTTTGTTTTGTTTTGACTGTCAGTATTTTCCACTACAGCCTTCCTTAATGCTGTGTCCATTACAAACACACAGGCCACCTCCCCACGTTAATCACTAGTCACTATTTCACAGCACAGCTGTGGCAATAGCTTAGAGATACAGCTGGCAGCAAAAAGCCTGCCTTTGCCATCTTTCCTAAGTGACCCAGGCCATTTAATGAGCCTCCTCAGGTTTACAGGAGAAACTTGGATTCCAGATTGAGGAGACCCAGTGAGTCAGTTAAGTGTGGACAGAGTTGGGAAACAGATCACCCCTGGTGCCACAATTCCTAGTGGCAGCCAGGCTCCACCTGACCCATAGACTGCTGGTGAAGCACCTCTAGGGATAAGATGATCTTTCCTGGGCCCAAAAGGTTAGCGTGTAGAGCTTTGGTCTTCTACCAGTGGTGCATGAACATCTGGTAAATATTTCTGAATAATGTTCATGGGCCAGGCAGAGTGAGGTGCTAGGTGAGGAGGTGTCCTCAGAAGGACAAAGACTGAAAAATTGGGGGGGAATTTCCATCTGGAGTGACCTGGAAGGGTGACATGGGCTTCAACATGAGTGTCACTGATGGAGGTGGGCAGAAGAAATGCCAGGAGGTGTGAAAGCACAGGGACCTAGTGGTGAAGCTCTTTGATGCCGTGCTGTCTAGGAGGGACTGGACACTATTAAAGAACAGAGAAGTCAGAAGGTGGAGTGGGATGGAGAGGAACTGGAAGCCAGCAAGTGGGTGGGAGGGCCGTAGTGATGTTCTGATGGGAGGATGTTGATTACAACCAGAGGAGGAGCCCACTGGAGGCAGGCCAGGCTGTTGGTGCTCCGCAGTGTTCCAGAAAGCCTGGCTTACCAACCAGCAGACAGAAGGAAGGACTTGGAGCCCAGGAGAGTCGAGGGGAGCGAGGAACCATCAGGAGCTAAGGACAGAGGTCAGGTGCACGGTCAAGGAGCAGGCACCCGGCTCTCCTGCGTCTCCATTATGCAGCAGACAACCCTAAAGGCAACCACTGAAGCCAGCCTGATGCGTGGCCATTCATACAAACTCCCACTGCCCATACGGTGTCCTGCTTGTGAATCCACTGCACCACTGTGGCTGGGCTTGAGTAGGGAAAGTCGGGTCCTAAGCCTGGTCTCTGCTAAGGGAACACAGAGAAGGATGAGTGGGGTGAAGGTGGACAGAAGGAGATAGCCTTATGGAGGCAAAAAAGGCTGCTTCCCCTCAGACCACTGAGAGGTGGGATAAGAGATGAACTTAGGGTGCATGATTTACTAATCTTTGCTCTGCCCCACACCTCTGTCCTTCTAACTTTTAACACATTCACAATGATGTCAAAATTCATATGCCTGGTTGCCAGTGGCTCTGAACCATGGGCAGCATATCCATGATTGGTCCATGGTTCAAGCTGGTGAAAAATCTTAAAAGATTTCTGCTTCCACACAAAGAGTAAGCATGGGGCCCAGGACATAGCTCAGTGGCATGTGCCTGCCTGGCAAGCATCCTGAGTTCAATACCTGGTACCCAAAAAAAAAAAAAAAAACAGGCAAGAGTGAGCCCCTTTCATTATTCACACAGAACTGTGAAGTCTCAAATTCTACGATACTGGAGACCAGAATATTTTGAGACTGTTGCCTTCCTAGATGTATTCACTCCAACATCACATGACCTGAATTCATGTGCCAAGTCTACTACTAGACTGCAATCGTCCCAGGCTCATTTTCCGGGGTAGCTCTGTCCTTAGCTACGTAGCTAAGTAACCTGGAACACAGAGCTTAGCATCCCTCCCTTATGTGCTCAGCTGTGCTATGGGAACCATGTGTCATACACGAATTCAGGTGACATCTGAGTGAAGTTCAAATGCAGACCCTGGGCGTAGAATAGGGAAACGATGTCTCCTCCGACCCCCTACCTGGCCAGTTCAGGATCACAGTCCCGTGTGAGAGAGCTGCTTTCTGAACGATGCAGATGGGCGGGTATGCGCCTTCCTCCCCTTTTTCCTCACCTTTTTCAGATGCTCTGCCTAATTTTTTCCTCTTGCCTATTGTCTCTGCTGTAGTAGACTAAAACCATCCAGAAAGCACGAGTGTGGACCCCATCTACAGCGGGCAGCAAGGTCCATCCCATCCCACTAAGCTGGGCAGTGGGGGGTAAGGCTCAGCCCTAAGGACGACACTGGCAGAGGGGACAGGAATGCACAGTGGGATGTGACAGGAGAAAGCCAGCGCTTTACTGCAGGGAGGGAACAGGTCAGGGCCTCTCAACCCCTCACTACATGTTTGGTCGCCTTCAACTGTATCCCCCATGCCTTCCGTGGCATTTGTCACGTAACAGGTCATTAATATCTGTCAAATCAGTGAGGAGTACAAGGAAATCGATAGAAGGGAATCCTGATCTCAACCTGTACCACTTTCCTGCTGCCCACAACGCTCTATTGCCAGTGTCAACACAGAACCCGTCAGAGGAGCCCTGGAGAGCTCTGCACCATTTATTTAGCTCTCAATGCTGGGGTTGGCGGTGTATTAAGAGAAAAATTCACTCACACACAGTGATTTGCCCAAGCTGCTGTAATGAAGTATCCCGACTGGAAGGCTTTAATAACTGTAGTGTGTGCACTCCCCATTCTGGCAGCAGGAGGTCTGAGGTCAAGGTCTTAGCCAGGTAGGCTTCTGTCTGTGTCATTTGTCCTCCTCTGTGTGTGTCTGTGTCCTCATCACCTCTTAGAGGAACACACTCTGGGTTAGGGTCCACCCCAATGACCTTATTTTAACTAAATTATAAGGCATCTCCAGATGCAGTCACATTAGGGACTAGAGGTGCAGATTCAATGTATGAACATGGGGGGAAATAATTCAGCCTGGCCCAGGATTTAGCTCAGCAGCATAAGTACCTGCCTGGCAAGCGTGAGGTCATGAGTTCGATCCCTGGTACCAAAAAAAAAAACCCAATAACCTGAAGTATGATCAACAAGCATTCCTATGCTAGATACAAGTTGGCAATTATATAAGAATATTTTGCATGCTGTCATTTACAACAGACTTTGTATTTATGTCACTTTCCTTTATGTGTGTTTAGGTCCTCCTGGCCCCAGGGGTCCAAAAGGTGACAGAGGATCTCAGGGTCCTCCTGGTCCAACCGGCAGCAAAGGACAGAAAGGAGAAAAGGGGGAGCCTGGGCCTCCGGGCCCCGCCGGTGAGAGAGGCCCAGTTGGACCAGCTGGGCCACCTGGAGAGCGTGGCAGCAAAGGCTCCAAAGGCTCCCAGGGCCCCAAAGGCTCCCGTGGGTCCCCTGGGAAGCCGGGCCCTCAGGGCCCCAGTGGAGACCCAGGCCCTCCGGGGCCACCTGGCAAGGAGGGACCCCCTGGCCCCCAGGGCCCTCCTGGCTTCCAAGGACTACAAGGCACCGTGGGGGAACCGGGGGTGCCCGGACCACGAGGACCACCAGGCTTGCCAGGGGTAACAGGCATGCCAGGACCCAAGGGCCCCCCTGGTCCCCCAGGGCCATCAGGAGCAGCGGCCCCTCTGGCTCTGCTGAATGTACCAACCCCAGTACCAGAGGACAATGGTAAGTCTGAGCCCCTTTTCCAGGGCCCAGGGTGGGGGGCAGAGTGTGTTCACGTCGTGCTGCCTTCTGGTCCCTTTAGCGAAATAACAGGTGAACTGCCTGGCCTGTGACCCACCCTGTTTGCTCCCCATCCTCCTGTGAGCCCGGGTTTGGTTCTGGTCCTCACAGCCAAGTGTTCAAGATGCCAGGTGCTCCCGGCCTGACGATGACCATCCGTGCCTGCCCTGCTTTCTGTTGTTGGTTGTTCTGTCCCTGTGAAGATGAATCCCCGGGCAGAGGAATGACGGCACAGTCACGGGCTCCTCCAGATTATAGGGTTCTCCCCGGCACTGTGGTGGCATCTGTAAACATCAGCCTGGCCCCTGCATGGGGACGCAGGGACACAGGCTGCTCCTGGCATACAAACGACACAGGGTTGTAGCTTTACCCTCTCAGACCTAGCTGAGAAAACGAACGCGTGCTTCCTGCGTTTTTCAAGCCAGTGCTTTAAATCTTTGCATGCCTAGGCTGCCCACCCCACTGGAAGAACTTCACAGACAAATGCTACTATTTTTCGGTGGAGAAAGAAACTTTCGAGGATGCCAAACTGTTCTGTGAAGACAAGTCTGCACACCTCGTTTTCATCCACACGAGGGAGGAACAGGTACGTTTGTGCACACGTGGTCAGGGAGAGTGTAACTTAGGCAGAGCGAGCCAGGACAGCGGGAATCAGCGGTCCCTGCAGTGTGGAGTGGCGGGCTTTATCCAGGGCCAAGAAGCATACACTGCCCTGCCCGGCAGTCCAGCCTGGCTCCTCTCAGTGGCTGTCAGGAGAGTCAAACTGCAGGTACCTGTGGTGGAGGTGAAAGCCAGAGCAGGGATGGGACAAGACACACGGCCTCAGAGAGAGGCATGAGGGGAGCAAAGAAGGCTGATGAGGCAGGGCCCGCCTGTGACAGTGACAGTGATCCCTTACGCAGCCCTTGCTGTGCTCGAGGCCTTGTCTTCCTTAAGCCTGACAGCATAGGCCATGTCCCCATTTTACAGATAAGAAACACCAAGGCCCAGCAAAGTATAAGAGATTGATTCACAGGAAAAATAAACGCAGAACTGAGACTGAAGTCCAATCAGCAACAATACCAAAACTCTTTGCTCTCTCTTTAGCGTCTCCAGCAAACACTGCCTGAAATTCATTTTCCCATAGACACCTGGCCGGGAATAAGCACCCACAGGGCAGTGGTCAGACTCCTGGGCTTCCATATATGCAGGCTTGGGCTCAAGCCCAGCTGACTGCTCCTCTGTTGCTGGACCACAGCAGCCATGGGTGGGGGAGGGAAACCCAGCCCAGGGGCCTGGCGAGTTGTCCTGGTGATTTGGAGAGAAGGGATCGCTTCAGTATCACTTGTGAGAGAAGAAACATTAGCACCCCCAGATGCTGCCTAACAAAACAGGCGCAATAAAGAGGACAGCTAGAGTGGTGTGCACATTCGGACAGACACCCTTTCTCTGCGTACCTGAGCCCAAATGTTTTTTAAAGAATTCCTTCGGGCAGCCGTTCCCATTGACAGTTCACACCCCCATGCCGCTTTATTTTTCAGCAATGGATAAAAAAGCAGGTAGTAGGGAGAGACAGTCACTGGATCGGCCTCACCGACCTGGAGCAGGAAAATGAGTGGAAGTGGCTGGACGGGAGCCCTGCAGAGTACAAGTGAGTCCCCACGCGCACACACGTATGCACACTCATACACACACATATGCACTCTCACACACACATATACACGCTGCTGGCCAGGTGCAGGTCCAGGAACCCCCCCTTCCTCCAGGTCCTTCCCTCCCGATTCCCCGTCCTAGACCTTCCTGTCAAACGCCAGCTCCTGGCACCCATTGCATATCTCCACTGGGGAAATACTGGTCGAGAATCTACAAGCTGGTAAGTGGGGCTTTCACTTTCCTTTTCTTGGGGTCCGTTTTCCTTTATTTCTAAGAAAACAAATCATGAGACTCATAGAACTGCACTGGCACAGAATGGTCCTTCTGGCCCAGGTGTTTTCTTTAAATACCACAAGGAAGGATAACAAAGTGCCTGTGACCCCAGGTAGGTTTCTGACACGAGGAGGTCCCCTCCAGGATGACACCCTTGTGGCTCTAACTTGATCAGGCTTCAGCCCAGAAAGAGGACGGATAAGCTCTCAGCTCCCTTGTATCTGGGAAGTTCAACACACCCCAACTTGCGCTGCAGGATCAGCAGCCGAGGCTCACACAGCCTGTATGTCCCATGGCGCTCGGAGCCCTGCAGAGCGGCCCACTCCCTTGTCAGCACCAACCTCATGAAATCTCACCAGTCTGCATTTACTCCTGTCTGCACCAGCCTTGCCTCTTCTGAATGTGACATGTACAACACACTGAACCAGACAGAGCAGCACTTTGAGAAATCCACCTGCAGGAACTTTTAGTTTGCTAGAAACAGAAGCCAACACAGTGGAGGCTCTGCCCCATGGGACAGTGTCACTGTCACAGTACCAGGAGCACTGTTAGCTGTTCCATCCCCAAAGGGAGAAAAATGAGGGTGTTTTGGATCTCAGACAGCATCATGGACACTGAGACAAAGACTCGTCAGGCAGAGAGCCGCTTAGGCTCGGGAGAGATGGAAAAGATGCACAGCATCTTTGAAGGCTCTGCGTGGTGGGTAGGTAGGTGCCCTGTACTCTGAAAATCCTCCACATGAACACAATTAGAGAATGGAGGTAGAAAGCAGAATAAAGCTGCATCTGTTTTTAAAATTTCTAGGACTGAAGGTAGAAACCAAGGCCTTTGCACTGAGCTACATCCCAAGCCCTTTTTATTTTTTAAAGACAGAGTCTCACTAAATTCTCCAGGTGGAATTCAGAGTTGTGTTTTAGCCTCTCAAGTGCCAGGATTTCAGACGTGTACTGCTACATCCAGTAGGCTATCTCTTACACACACACACACACACACACACACACACACAGCCAAGTTTGGGGTGAAATATTTGAAGACTAGATCTGCTCCAGGACTTAGGGCTGCCCCAAAGGCAATTCCTGGGACCTCTGGCACTTAGGAATTGCACAGCTCCAAGGAAACCACCCCAAATAGCAAGGGGGGGCCTTCAGGAGACCTGGGAGAGCTGTGGATGCTGGCCTCTAACACAGGAGCCACAGAGCGCTGGAAGTGGGAGTGGGAGGCCGAGACTAATAAAGGAAAAAGCAAATGTATTTCTCTGAACAAGAAAGCCAGGAAATTTTTCTAAAGCAATCGAGGGGAACTAAAAAAATCCATTTCCTCCACTTTTCTCACTGCCAGAAAGAGGTCTGGGTTAGACTCACCAAGAAATTCAACGGTGAGCTCCCTCCAAAATAAACTGGATCGGCCCATGTGAAATGGAGACAGCTGGAGCACCACTGTCCTCATCAGCTCTGCCAAGGTGCAGCTTTGCTCCTTTTCCTTGGGATCCGGCAAGAATTCTGTGACTCAGAAGAAAATGCAAGCACCAGTATCTGGGCCCCGGGAGACGGCCCTCCCAGACCCTCGCTGGGAACCCGTCAGCGTGCATAGACAGTGCCCCTCATTCCACCCTGAGGGATCCACATCCATGTAGAGACCCACAGATCAAATTCCAAGAGCAGGAAGAAAGCGGGCAGAGATGCTGCAAGCTAATTTCATTTGCACATACAATAATCCTTACTGCACACTGGAGAAAGAGCCAGTGCAGTCAGGGGAGGGGCCAGGTGGGCCACGAGACACTGCTGTGGGGCACTCACCTGCACGACCCTCGAGGTGCTAGGTAAAGTCACGTGAGCTTACGTGTGTGTTTATGAATAGCATTCAGCATGGGGCTCTTCACAGGAAAAATCTTACTTACAAGCCCTGGTAGTATTACTAGTGTTGTCATCATCACAGTTATTATCACAGCAGAAATGTGACTACCTAGATTTTATGTGAGGTACTGTACCCTCACCTGGCCAAGGTGCAACCACAGTACCCACTCAAGTCTCTCAATAGGTCTGTGAAGACTTTTTTTGGTCTTTTTGAGACAGTGTCTTGCTATGCAGTTCTGGCTGGCCTTCAGCTCACTTTGTAGTCCAGGCTGGCCTCCAACTCACAACGACCTTCCTGCCTCAGCCTCCCAAGTGCTGGGATGACAGATGTGTGCCACAATGCCCAGTTCAGGTTTGTGAAGAAGACAAGGACATTCCTGGTCATGTCCTGGGAATGAAGACCAGACTTCTGGATCTCGGAGGTCTCCCACCAGTATGCATCACCCCACATTCTTCTCCAGCTATTCAGACCCATCTTTACCTGCTTTCTCTTTGTTTTTGAAGCCTCAAAGCACTGACCCATCCACGCCCCTTTCTCCTACTACCAGCAATGATTTCTGAACTAGCAATCATAAGAGGCTATTGTGAACCATGATACACCAACAGATGGAACAACCTGAAACAGGTACGTTTCTATAAACAGAACTTTCCAACACTCAGTCAAGAACGGAGAGGCAGCTACACAAGCCAAAAACAAATAAGGAGATTGGAGAAGTCATCAAAAACCTCTCAACCAAGAAAAGCCTAGGACCAGGAGGCTTCGCAGCTGAATTCTACCACACACTCAAAGGAAGAATAACAACACCAGTCCCCTTAAAGCTGTCCCCAGAACTGTAAGTCAATGACCCACAGACGGCTGCACTCACACCATGGCAGGACAGCACAGCAGGGGTCAAGGTCCCCACACAGGTGCAGTTTCAACTCAGAGACTGGCGGGGCATGCGACCGCCAAGACTGAATCTGCTGATAGAGGACACAGTTTTTAAAATGTAACCTACCTGCAAATCTGAGCATTAAAAACACACAGTCTTCTCCAAGGAATTCCAGACAACTGCCATCCTACATTCTCACATGCATGCACACTCATGCACACACACAGAATTATGTTTCTCATTCAACCTCAGACCTGTGACAATTCCATTCCTCACCAGCAGCAGCCTCTGATGGCAGAGTTGGGTCAGGTTAGGGTCCTGTGGTAACGGCCTCCCTGCTGGCTTGTAGGACATTTTGAGGGGCGGGGCAGCAGTATGAGTGAGAGGTGTTCAGCTAGTCCCCTAGGAAAGGATCATTTCCAGGTGCAGGTCACCAGGTGACATTCCAAGCCCAAATATGGACACAACAGAGACCTGGACTTCTAAGATTTATCAATAGAGCAGGAGCTAGCAGTAGAGACAGTGGTCGCAGTTAATTTAACAAATTGATATTTTTGGAACATTTTTACCCAACAACTACAAATAGGCTTTTTTTCAAGTACATATAGTACATTCACCAAAACCGACTGTCTACTGGGCTATAATGCAAATCTCAGTAAGAGAACTGGAGGTATACAAAATATGTTCCCTGGCTGAAAATAAGCAAATTAGGGGCCGCGCCCTGGACGCCCGGATCCTTGCACCTCCACATCCCGCTCAGTCTCGCCCATCCCCCAGCCTCGCCCTCGCAGCTGTTGCTGGTCTTGTGTGTGGAGTCGCCATTTTGCTGGTAGAGATGCCATCTGGAGACCGCAGCGCCCCTCTTTCCTCGGCCTAGGCTGCTGCGGGGCGGGGGATGGGGCCTGGGGCCTGGGCCAGGTAGGCGGGCGTGAGCCTGCGGCGAGCGGCAGTGCGGCCTGGTGGCCCCAACGTTAGCGGCGCAGAAAGTATTAGTGATACTTTGACATGAATGGCACTGAAGGGGTCTGAATATGGCGGCGAGCTAGGGGATCGAGCGAAGAGTCTCTCCAGAGAATTCAAACTCAAAGCTAAAAAAAAGACAGCATGGAGAGGACCAGACAAATCGATAGCGATTCTTATTAACCAAGACAGTACAGCTGGAGGATTTAAAGTCATGCTGAGACCGGAGGCTGCAAATCCCGCGCCCTTAAATCAACAAACAGACTCATGGACCCAGCACGAAAAGCTGAGTTGCTTTTGGGGACTGCGGGAAACTGAGACCCAGATCGAGACTCCAAGTAGCAGCCAGTTCTGCACCGCTGCACCAGAGCAGATGTACAAAGCTCTGGCGTTTCAAATCTAAACGGTGCACAGAAATCTGACCAGTCAGCGCTGAGCCGCGAGGTGGGGAAAAGTGGACAGCTTGGTGTGTGGTGGTCCCGGAGCTGGGACTTGCACCGGACTCTGGTGAGTATAGAAAACCCCGCGGCGGCTGGGTTTGGCCAGAGAACAGCTGGCCCGCCACCACGGGGAAATCAATAACACAGAGTCTGGTGCAGACATATTAGCCTGGCGGCAGAAACCGCAGCTTGGTGACATCACCAGGTCCCCCTGTAGGGAGGGCTGGTGGAAGACATCTTGAGTCCTGGCAGAGCCTGATTACTTGCTGGCTTCAGCTCCACACAGAGAACTTAGTGGGAGCCATCTTGGTTTTGGGCAGATCTGCTTTTCTGCTGCTCCTATCGCAGAGAGGTTTGGAAGAGAACGGCTGGGACCTGGGCAGAATCCTGTGCCATTACTCAGCTGCTTCTGATTCAAAGAGAACTGGCAGGAGCTACTGGGGCTAAACCAAGCCTCTGCTTGGGGCCCAATAAGCAGATACAAAATAGTCACAACTCAGTGACAACCAGAAAGTACAGCCTAATTTATGAACTAACTGACACAGAGGCTAGAGACTAGACTGTACCGCCCCTACATCCCAGCCTACCCCAGATAACAGCAAATTGGGGAGGACAGCAAAAACTCAAGCCAGCACGCTTCTGAAAGGCCCTAAGCAATTCGGAGAGGGCCAGAGAACTCCAGGACAGTCTGAAAGAAACCAGAAACATGACAAGAGATAAAAATAAAAAAAAATCTCCAGCTGTTCAACAGGAGAAATTAAACCCAAGAGAACTAAACACTGAAGAGAACAAACACAGTAATCATCCTCTACTCGACACAGCATCAGCCGAAATTAAAAAGTACTTACATGATCTCATAGAGGAATTTAAAGATGTACTCCTGATCCAAGTGAGGCAAGATATAAAGAGATTAATTAAAGAAATGACAAGCCCCGCCCAAGAGAACACAGATGGAAGAACTGAGGAAATCAGAAAAGAAAGAGAAGCATCTGAAGAAGAATTTAAGCATAACTTAGAATACATGAAACAGATCCAAAGAGAATATCAGGAAACTAAAAACTCCATTGAATATTGGCAAAATGCCTTGACAGAAACTAAAGACAACCTTCTGAAACTTGAAGAGAGATTTAGGGCTTATGAACGTGAAAGAAAAAGCCTCTTAAAAATAACAAGGAACCAGAAAGAAGCAATTCTAAAACTGGAAGATGATAAAAAGATACATAACCTAAGAATAAAGAATGTGAGTGAGGAAGCAGGAACATCCAAAAATGAAATACAAAAAATATTCACAGAGATATTAAAGCAAAATTTCCCACGTATAGCAAAAAGAAATGATATCCAGATAAAAGAAGCATACAGAACGCCAGCTACCTACAACCAAAACAGATCTACGCCTAGGCATATAATAATCGAGATCCCAGAAATCCACCAAAAAAACAGAATATTAAAAGCAGCCAGAGAAAAGATGCAGGTTACCTATAACGGGAAATCTATCAAAATAACAGCAGACTTATCAACACAAACTCTTAAGTCAAGAAGGGAGTGGGGAGAAATATTCCAAGTCCTGAAGGAAAAAAATATGCAACCTAAGTTCATATATCCGTCAAAACTCTCTCTAAAAATTAATGAAAAAATAAGATACTTTCAAGACAAGGAGGAACTGTGGGAGTTCGTGGCCACCAATCCAACCCTACAGAGAGCGCTAAAGGACATTACAGAGAAAGAGAGGAAGAGATATCAGGATTACAGCTACAGTGGTAGAGAGGCCTCAGTGAACGGGGCAGACCATGGAATGAGGGAATAAGGTGGACAAATTATAGCAGAAAAGTGGAGTAGCAGACATGAGGCAGAGACGGTAAGCTAGTCTTTAGTAGAGACAGCTCTGAAACTATATTTAAAAAAAGGGGAAAAGCAGAGGTCATTGCTAATGGTGTATAACGATTTAAAAGACACAGTAGTCCTAGTGCCATATTTAGATTGAATTAAATTTGTTCTGGTCTGTCCACTCATATCAGATTTGAGGACACAGACCTCTAGAACCAAAAATAGCAGGTTATACCATGGTAACTATCCTTACTTTCCTATTGACTTAGGCTGAAATCCTGTATTACTTACATTGTCTTACTATGACTGATATTAATTGTATCTGAATCATAAGACTATTGGTTGGCCTTGACTGATCCTATTTGAAATCGGTATGCGTGTTAGAATCAACCCTAAAAGTAGAGGAAACTACTCTGAGCATGACAAGATGTAAAGGATATCCATACTGGTATGAATCAGTAACAGCTCTCAAATACTACAATGCAGTCAAAGATAAGTTTTTATAAAAATAGGTGATAGTATGTTTAACTATAATAAGCCAGTGTTGTCGACAAATCTATTGAAAATAACAAGAGAAAACATAGTAGCTACGGAAGATCATTTATATTATAGTTTTATAAGTCTTATCCATTGCATGTTTATCTAGGAAATTGTTTCGCTGTCTTGTTATGACTTGGTTTTCTCTATAATACAGAGAGGATAGGAACAAATACTCTGAGGAAGAGACCTGAAAAACCCGAGGCTTATTTTGTAGCATTATAATATAAATTCTAACAATCTATTGCTTGCTGATTAAAATGACTCTGGACTGGTTTCTTCAGCTCAACTTCAGCATATGCAGAGATGGGGACGGCTATCACAAAGAGAATGAGAGATGAGATGGTAGTTGGTATTGTCTTCCCTAATTTGGAACTTGAGGACCTAAAAAGACTCCATCATCCTGTAATGATTTGATCAGTTCTATAATATGCAATAAGTATAGAAAGTGGGTGAAGTCAGGGACAACTATTTGTAAGAAGCTAGAGACAGTTAGATAAGGTAGATCTCCAGTGGACTTGCTTTGAAATCTGTATTTCTTTAAATTGTTTTTTATTTTTTTTTTAAATGTTCTGTTCTGTTTTGATATGGTTAACCTTATCCTCTTAGAGATGTAAAACAAATAGGTGGGACTGATAATCATATTACGGAGCTTTTGTTCGACCATAGAGCAGAATGGTTTGTAGGGTCACTTTTTTGAATGTCATTCTAAATACTTTAATTCTATAACCTGAACAGCCATTTCGAAGATGACAATTTGTAACTTATCAACTGGCAATTTCTTACCTTTTGTTTGTCTATAATTTAGTATTATTTCTACCCTTTTTTTTAATCTCCATGTATTTTTTTTTTCGTTTCCTTTTCTTTAAATAAAAAAAAAAAAGAAAATAAGCAAATTAATAGCAGGACTGCCTATAAAATCCCAATATTTGGGACCAAGGATTTAGCATAAATGGCATAAGCACCTACCTTGCAAGCATGCAGTCCTGAGTTCTATCCCCAGAACCAAGACAAAAAAAAAATCCCAATATTTGGAAATGAGAATAAATCACAGATCAAAGAAGAAACTATCAAAAACATCTGAAATTTTTTAAAATGAAAATATGTCGAACATTGATGGGGTGCAGCTAAAACAGAGCTTAGAGGGACATTACCAGCCTTGAAGTACACGCATTAGAAAGAATTTCTAACGGGTGAAATTCAGGGATCTAAGCTTCCACTACACAAGGGCAGAAAAAAGGAGAACAAATGGATGCTTGAGCAGAAAGTGCAGTGTAAGGCCCTGGGTTCAATTCTGAGCACCCCACAGTGTGCGTGCGCGTACACACCTGCACTTTAGTGCAAGGAAAGCAACAGACCAGGAAGCAATGAAATAGGAAATAGAGCTGGTGAGACAAGGGCACCTTTACTGCCCTGGGATGCTGGATGGCATTCTCGGGTGTGCCGTGCGGCGGGCTGTCACCATTAACAGATTCCACCTGCGCTCAGCAGACCAGGCATGTGCAGGAGGCCGGCTCTGCCCACTCGCTCAGGGCAGCGAGGCCTCTCCCAGCCGCACTGCTCACGGCAGCCCACTCAGATCACCAAAGAGGTGACATCTTCCCGAGGGTTTCCCAGAGCACGCGTGCCTTCCCTCCCTCCCTCCTACCCACAGTGACATGCGGTAGGAAAATGCTGTCAAGTCTTAAGCGACAGCCTTTATCTTACATCATGAAGATAAAACACGAGTTGCGTCTGTCCCTGACAATGGCTCCATGTCATGTCACCTGCCGTGTTTTTAGCACACAGCCTCAGAAGACTCCTCTGTCCTCTAACTCCATAAGCATGCAGCAAGCCCACAAGTCACATGGCCAGGGGCAGGCTGAGAGAATAATCTCCCACCACACAGACCTGCAGAGGGAGAAGAATCTCGGCACTGTCCTTTTCCTGTCTCTCAGCCACACTGGCTTCAGTCAGGGGAAACGCATGTGCACCAAGCCGAAGTTACATGGAGCCAGCACCAAGGGTCAGAGTCTGTGCTCTGCCTCCATTAGGGTGACCCCAGATCCTTGGGGTGCTCCACACACACTAGCCACTGTGTTTGCAGCTCATTGGAGCGCTCAGTCCAAGTGTTTCAAGAGTCTCGGTGTACTCAGAGACACTAAGCCATGGCTTCTGCAGTGTGTAGTTGTGATGTGGATTCAGGGCTTTTCAGTACAGGATCCACCTCGGAATGAGGCTAAGGCGCTGTTTAAGCAGATGATCTCTTTGGTATGCAGCTCTTCTTACAGCCTGCTCTGTTCTTTGTCTGATGAGCAGGCACACAGAGCTCCTGCTGGAAATTGAGCTTTTCCAGGGAGATGCTTTGAGGCCGTGGGTATTCAGTCTACTGGAAGGCTTCGCCCTGTGACTGGCCTGGGGTTCCCTCCTCCCACCCCCACTGCTTTCCACCTTTAGTCCTAAGGAAAGCTTTGAGGACTGCATGTGATGGATTCCAGTGACAGGGAAAACCAGCTGGAGAAAGATGACAAAGATGATCTCCTTTCTTATCACTTAGTTATCTTCTAGTTAGTCCATTTTATCTCCTTAGTTTAAACTAAAACTGGCTTTAAAGGAAATGTATGTCCTACATCCAGAGAAGCGGATTTATAGCGTGCTGGTTAACTGAGAAGGTAAGGCTATCAAAGGTACCGTGATTACACACAAAGGAGTCACAGATCTCAAAATTTGTAAGTGAAACCGGAGTGGATTCCCTCCCATGACTGGCAGAAATGAACAGACTGGACATTAACAAGGTCAGGCAGTTTGCACATCGCTGACATTTCCACCTGTGACCAGCACACTGGACAGAGATACATACACAAGCAAGCGTACAGAATGTTACCTGCTTTTTCCTTCCAACTTCTTCTCTGTCTGGTACCATTAGTCTGAGACTCCGAGTCCAGCCATCTCCAAGTCCGTGAGAGCTCTGCTCCCTGTCCCGAGTCCCATCCCTGGACTATGCCTGGCACAACGGGGGGCAGTCACACAGCACAGACCTGCTGGGCATGAGTAAACAACTGTTCTAAGTGTCCTCCCAGTTTTACTGATCACTTGATGGGTTTTCTAGACCAGGGCTGGTGAACAGTCTATAGTACATGTCTTAGTGTGTTTTCCTTTTAACACAAAAGCTCTTAATGGGGCAGTTGATCTTTTCCTAAACCAGAACCTCAGTGTTCAGGTTTAATTGCAGCATTGGTGCTTTGCAATTAAGACGTAGGTTTGGGGTTGCAGTGTAAGTGCCCATCTCTAAAAGGATCGCTGTCACTGCTTAGATTGTCTTTTCACTGTTTCCACCACCTTTTTTTTTTTTTTTTTTTTTTGTCTTTTTTGTTTTTATCGGTACCAGGGATCGAACTCACGACGGCCTGCTTGCAAGGCAGGCGCTTATGCCGCTGAGCTAAATCCCCAGCCCCATCCATTTATTTTTTAATAATTTCCTTTTTTTTTTTTTATCGGTACTAGGGATCAAACTCATGACTGCCTGCTTGCAAGGCAAGCCCTTATGCCACTGAGCTAATAATTTTTCTAATAATTTTCTAAATGAGGCCACTATTTATTTGAAATCCCAAAATACCCATTTGGAGTTGGAAGTGTCAATTTTGCCTCGCTTCCCTACTCTAGCTGTAAACTTCACTGTCCTTCGCCTGCCCCCTCAGAAGGTGTAGGGCACCAGGACTCCTTCCCAGGGCCTTAGCAGCTCTGTGGCTGAAGGGGAACTGAGGCATCACTGGTGGGAGGTACCACCTCCTGCATGTTCTTCCACACCCTCCAGAGAGGCCAGCAACCTGGGGCAGAAACTACAAGCCTTTCTCCATGAACTTGCATCCTGAGAAAGAGTTAAGTGCATCCAACTTACTGCACAGGAATAGATTCAAGAACCGTAAACTCTGGAGAGTGCTGCCTTGAGCAGCAGCATCCAAGTAACTAAGCCTCTACTGAACTCACCTAAAGAGAACTTGTGTTTAAGGGTCTCTCTCCCAGAAACAGTCATTTTCAGTAAGGTTAAAGTGCTGTTTTTCTAAAGCGATGCGCTGTCTGTATCTTAGCCAGAGAACGATTGCTAGTTGTTTTCTTGCAGATGTGAATCAAGGGTCTCTCACTTTGTCTTCTTGATGCTTGGATAAGTTAGAGATGAGACAGAAAAATGCACAAGGGTGTCTCTGGGCTCTTACAAGAGTGCATGGAAATGTGTGAGATGTCCTCAGAGCGCCTGCATATTTATGCACAATGGCACACATGTATGTGCCCAGAAGTCAGCAGTCTGGGACACATTAGAAAGCCCCTCATCTAAGTGGGTCTGAGAAGCATCCCTGGCCATGGTGGTGAGGACAGTGTTACTCACCTCAGAAATAGCCAGACTATAGGGATCTTCGTTTCTCCACACACAGCTGCTGCTTATTCTGAATAAAGTTTTAAACAGTACATTTTCATCCCAGGATACGCTTCAATTTTGATTTTTACATTCCTGTTTCTCATGCGTAAAGAAAACCTTGACATTACTATGTAAATAACACTCCAATTGTGTTTTGTTAAAAGAAACTGGAAAGCTGGCCAACCAGATAACTGGGGTCACGGCCACGGGCCTGGAGAAGACTGCGCTGGGCTGATTTACGCTGGGCAGTGGAACGATTTCCAGTGCGAAGACATCAACAACTTCATTTGTGAAAAAGACAGGGAGACAGGTAAGCAGTCAGTGGGATTTCAGAGTGAGCTGCACAGGTTATGTCCTGCGGTGGGGACAGCTGGGAGGACTGCTGTCTTCTTCCTGGGGTTTTTATGAGTAGTTAAGTAATTAATGTGCCAAACGTCAGGAAATACTCAGTAAACACTGGCCTAACCGTGCAGGCCGGTAACTTAGTTAACTGTTCTTTAAGATGCGGTAGCAAATGTGATGCCTGTCGTGTGGGCATCTGTACACAGCTGTTTCCAGTGGCCACACATATGATCCCACATGAACTGACTGAGCATCTGCAGTAAGCCTGATGTTGTCCTAATAATGGGAGACTATAGTCTGTGTCTTTTATAAGCTCAGAAAACAAAGAAGCCTTTGGAGATTTTCTTGACTTCAGAAGATGATCAGAAGCTTCACTGAATGTATGACTCCATCAGAACTAGATTTTTAAGTTAAAAGGTTGTAGGAGAAGGAAGAAATGGAGAACAAATGCATATGGGTACTGGGTTTCTTTTGGGGATGCTGAAAGTCTTCTCTAAGATTAGATCTTATTGCACCACTTTGTAGATAAACTAAAACTAAAATGAGCCCTTTAAATCAGTGAATTGTATGGTTTGTGAGTTACATTTCAATAAAGCTCTTTTTTTAAAAAAGTGACAAAACATTTTGCTCAAATTATTCTTATAAGTAACTGAGGTTCAAGTTATTAATATACCCATTCACTAGACAATCACCAAGGACTTCCTGTGTGTCATGCATTGGTCCAGACCACAGAAGGAACTCAGTCTGGTTAGCTGAGGGCACAAACATGAAAATCTAAATAAGACTAGGACGGATGGTAGTATATAACCCAGTTATCCTCTGTGTGCTTTGGCCATTTGCGATTGGAGTAGGGACCAGCCTTACCCAGAATAATCCTTCAAAGTGACATTTAGCTCTTAATTCGAACAAAAACTTTAGCTGTTTCTTTGAAAAGTAAGCACTATTGAAGTTATGGGTTTCATTCCTAAAGATGTTTTGTTTTGTTTTGTTTTGTTTGACCTGTACGTTAACCTTGTTCTTCAAGCAAAACTGACAGCCGTCTTGATGTCTCTCTTTTAGGAGTATCACTGGCATTGTAATGGACCATGAGCAAATCTTCAGGCAGTTTCTCCAAAGCAAAGGATGCTCCCCTTGGACTATATCAGCTTCTCACCAGAAGGGGAAAAGGCACTGAAAACCAATCACTGAAAAAAATAGATGGCTGCTGTTTGCCATTACCCAAGAACTTGGGAACCAGTATGTCCCCTCAGGGTGACATGTTGATTTTCAGTGTGCAGATGGACTGAATCACATAGATTTTTCTCAGCCAATAACTGTGCAATTACACAAAGTATCTTCCAAAGTATGAAATGCTCCAATCAGAAAAAGACCACCGTTGGTTGTTGAGCTGTGGGAAGAACGTAAACATACACTGTGTAAACAGTACCTTAACATTTCTAAAATCCCAAATATAGGAAAACTATGCAAATATACAGATATATAGGCCAACTCTTAGATGAAATATACTTAAAGAGCTTTTAAAACTTTGTATTTTTGTACAAAATATTTGCCTTTTACAATTTTCTTTTGTTTTTTGTTTTTGTCATTTTACCAATGTAATACATGGAGCCAAAGAAAACAATGATGGTACTAATAAAATCTCATAGGGTTTCTTGTCAGATTTCTACTCAGTGGCAAAGAATTTTTTCAGTTGTGGTAATAAATATACGTGTGTTATATATTTGTATCATTGCCTGAGAGGAGAGAATCACTTGAGGTGTCTGGAAATATCCTTGCAGATTTTGGTGGGAGGCACAGACATGGCTTGAGCCATCACCAGTCACCACCCAGAGGAAGTGGTTACCCCAGGATGTGCTTTAGTGGAGCAGAGGCGGTGAGGGCCGAGAGGCGCCATCTGCTGGGAAGGGCGGAGCCCTGAATCTGGCCATCTAGAAGGCCTGTTCCATGGCTGGTGCGTGAACAGCCTTAGTCTGAGGCCTGTTCCATGGCGTGAACAGCCTTAGTCTGAGGCCGACACTAGAGCAAACACTGTTAGGAGTATGGCGGCACGCTGGCCAAAGGCAGAGACGCCGCAAATACAGGAACCAGCCAGATGCTATTTAGGAAGTTTGTTTTTCTTAAATCACATTTCAAAAACAGCTCCAAGGCCTAGGCACGAAGAAACTCAAAAATAAACTTCCAGCCATCATGTTCAGTTTTGACAAAGAGCCTTTCCTCCAAGCCCATCTTCCTTCCCCTCCTCGATCTGCCATTGGAAAGTCAACACCAGGCGCGCTGGAATGAGGCGTTAAAGCTAACTGTGCTCACGGGCAAGACCACCCCTTTCCCCACGCCCACGGGTCTTCCCAGGCAGTGCTGCTACCTGAGCCAAATAGCATGGCCAAAGAATAAACATGGTATGGGGTTGGCACCCGCAGCTGCATGAACTGTTGCTTTGCCCAGGATCACCATCCTGGTGGTTTCCTCCATGTCCCGAGTATAGCCGAAGTGTCAGGTTGAAAGTACCCCTCACTGCCTGGTCCTAAATGCAGAGGCCTGTGAGAAGCAGCAGGCCCTGGACTCCAAGACCTCCAGAGGAACTCGGTCCTCTCAAATGTCAGCTGCGAGGTGTGTACAGAGAAAGCTGGGATTCACTGTCTGACCCATCATCAGAACAGGTGGGTGCCAGCTTTCCGGCTGTGCTGGCCTCTGCCAGCCCTAATAACTACCAGTGGAGAGGTGATTGTCAGGCACTGTGCTCCTTCCAACAGCCTGGTGACATGGGCCCTTTATACCCATTTTACAGGGACTGGGACTCAGAGGTGCTGTGATTTCTTGGGTTACACTGGCACCGAATGGTGAAGGCCAGAGTCACACTCGAGCCTGGACTATGTTCTCACCTCTTTAGGAATTAGGGTCCTGCTCCCCAACACACCGAATAAAACCCAGTGGCCTCACGTCACATTGCCAGATGCCTCCTGAACAAATCTCTGTATTTAGCTCTTTCTGCATCCACTCTCTAATTGCTTAATGACAACTGTGCCCTTGGAAAAGAGTTTTAGTAAAACATGAAAACCTCTTCAGCCACCAGGCTATTTACCACGAGGAGATGGAAACCAGTTTCCTCTCTAAATGGCTCTTGAAAGAAGGCAAGCGTGACAAGGCAGGTGGGGAGCACTTTCCCCTTCTGTGGCCCAGGCTGGCTGGACCCGCTACCCATCCTTCCAATTGTAGTAATGAAGGTTCCACCTGACACAACAAATAGTGATAACTGTTCCCTTCTGAGACAACAAACACGGAGGTGGGTGGTCGCATAAATCAGGTCACAAAACCAAGCACATGCTTTTTGCCTCTGCTGACTGACTTGGGAATACGGACTTTCTGAATCATTTATGACCCAAGGTCCTAACAATAGCATACTATGTGTATACACACCTGCAGAGACATCAGCACGTCTATGCAGCATGCAAACCTACTGCACTGCTTCAGAAATAAGGGAAGCAGGGCTCAGGGTGAATACATGCCCACTGCTGACATTCCAGTCACGGACAGTTTCAAGAAAGCAAACAGGCGATTTAGCGATTTAGCTCAGCAGCATGAGTGCCTGCCTTGCAAGTGTGCAGTCATGAGTTCAATCCCCTGTATCAAAAAAGAGAAAAACAACAACAAAAAAAGAAAGCAAATTTGATCAGGTGCTTCTTTGCCTTTGGTTTGCTTGTTTGTATTTGTTTTTTAAGCGTGACTTTACCTAAGCTGGTCTCAAACTTTCGGGCTCAAGCGATCCTCCTTACCTCAGGCTCCCAGGTGGCAGGGACCGTGGGCATATACTACACCTGGCTTAGTTCTCTATTCTTAGATTGCCTAAATTCAAATCTACCCTTCACATCACTCCTACCTTAAAATCTTCCCAGGATCCCAGCTGCCAGTGGGATGCATGTGGAAGGGCAGTGGCCCACTGGGGTCCAACTCACACCTGCTCCATCAACCCTGCCTTGCCCGTGCACTCAGCAGGCCAATCACACCACCTGCACCTTCTGCCGTGCTCTGTCTGACCTCCATGCTCCACCCGGATCAGCTCACTACCACCTTCAGGACAGCCCGAGCGTCACCTCTTGTGGGAATCGTTTCCCAGCACAGCTGCCGACTGATTCCTCTCCTTCCGTGCCAAAAGCTTACACCAAGTGCTCTGAGGAAGGAAACTCCCTCACTGGCCTAGAGGACCCACAGGCTCAGGGAAATGCTTGAAACTACCTCAAGAAAAGAGAAAGGCTACTGTGTCTTTTAAGAACCTAAGAAAGAGAAACCAATCAAGAGGAATGAAGAAACTGATACTGCTACCAGTTTGCTTTGTATATAATAAACACGTACAGCCATTCCTCAGGCTCCGTGAGCACTGTTCCAGAATGTCCTGTGCATACCAATCTTCAAGGAGCTCAAGGCTCTAATATGTAACGTAGCATAGGATTTGCTAACAACCTGGGCTCATCCTCCCATATACTTAAATCAACTCTAAATTACTTACACTACTTCATATGATGTAAATGTTATTTAAATATTATCCTGTATTGTTTCGAGAATGACAACGAAGTCTGTACATGTTCAGTGTAGGCATAGTTTCTTTTTCTCCAATATTTCAATCCATAACTGGTAAAATGCACAGATGTGGGACCCATGGATACTAAGAAAAAGCTATTTATTAAAATAAATGGAAGATGAGGAGAAGGAGTCGGAGGAGAAAACTAATTCACTGTTTACCAAAATATGGCCCAGAGTCAGGGAGAAGCAGCCTGCTCGAAGAGTCAGTGTGAGGCAGAGTCTGGTCTCTCACCATCACGCTGGGCTGAGGAGTGTGGGCAAACTTCTCAGGCTACGAGGTTTCCGGGGAAGACCCTTTAATGGCATGGCATCATATTTACCTTCGAAATCACAAAGACAATGTGGACAGCATTGTGCTCCACTTACCCACCTTCTTCCTCTCTTACATATATCCGTGTTCAAATCGGCATGCACGCTGCCCAGATATACCAGATGGTCAGAGGCCAGAGGCAAGCAGGCTTAAGCCAACAGCTCCAAGTTTGCTCTGGGTTTGGTGTTTTTCAGTGGATGAGGACATGATGAACTCTCCCAGCCAGCCCCGCGTGCTGTGGCCAGGGTCACACCCCAGGCCCCGTCTTCCCAAGGACTCCTAAGCCCTGAGTGCGGAAAGCTGCAGTCACTGTACAACCCGGTGGAGCCAGCTGCTAAGCCCGGAGCTTCTCCCAACAGTTCATCCAGACAGCTCGTTAAGCAGCTTAACCAAAGGGTCTTGAGTGAGTTCCCGGGGCCAGGAATAGAGAACTGTCCTTTGGCCAGTCTTCAGGGTCTGCTGCCAGGGCTTGCTGTACCTTTTAATCATCATTCATGGTGCCCCACGAAATCACTTCTGGGAGCTGCAGGGAGTTCAAAGATTCTTAAAAATCAGTTCCTGTGCCACGGAGCAAAGAAGCCGGGCCCCGCACAACGTAAGCACCGCGCTGCACAGCAGCCGTAGCGGCACCCACAGTGGGCTGTGGATCTGACACACGCCACTCGGAGAAGCTGGAGAACAGATGGGTCAGGTTAGTGTCCCAAGCTCTGGGGTTCAAATCTAAGTCACCTTGCCTCCTCTGTCACGCTGGCTCCCTCGCTTTCAGTGACTTTATTGGCAGCCGGGGCTTTCTGCATCGCCTTTCATTCCCCTCGGCTGTAAGAAATCAGCCAAGGGAACTCTCCCTTCCTCACACAAGCAGGAAGACAGTGTGGAATCCTGACTCATGTGCTCGGCAAGTTTGTGTCAGCTCCTCAGGTTGCAGAGGTTTAATTTTATTTTCCCATTAACTCACACACCATCAGTAAGTACTCTGCTTGTTCTTTACCCTGCCCTGCCTCAGGACAAACAGAATACTTTTTTTTTTTTTCCTTTGGCGTTTTCGAGACAGGGGCTCGCTATGCAGGTCAGACTGGCCTTCAGCTCACTTTGTAGCCCAGGCTGGCCTCACACTCACGATTCTCCTGCCTCAGTTTCCCAAGTGCTGGGATTACAGGTGTGTACCATCACACCCAGCTTGACAACAGAATTTAAAATATCATTAAAACAAAGAATTCAGGGAAGACTTTGTTAGTTGCCACCTGTCCTTATGAGGCTGAGGTTTCCACTTTGAATTTTTAGAATACAAGATCAAGAATATTTCAGTACTATTCTTTTCAATAAGACTAAACAAACAAAAAACATTTTTTATTAGTTTAAAATTTTTTTAATTTTTATTTTTATTAGAATGAGAAGTCACATACGGTTTTCATTAAGTATGTGAGAAATAGTGATTTCAAAGAAAAAAAAGCTTGCTCTTTAATTCACTGGATGCTCATATACTCAAGATACACATTATGACTAAGAAACTCAAAGACTATCCATAACAGGGGAAAATATACAAATCAGAGATTTAAAAATGTTTTCCCTTTCATTTTTAAATTTAAAAATGAATGGGGACTGGAGATTTAGCTCAGCGGCATAAGCACCTGCCTTGCAAGTGTGCAGTCATGAGTTCGATCCCCAGCACCAAAAAAAAAAAAAAAAAAAAAAAAAGAATGGGAAATATTTTTAAATCCTCAAGTCATATTATATATGCATAATTTAAACTTATTACAAGTATTATGAATATAGACTGCTGATGATATAAAACCTATAAAATCCAAAATTATTAAAAACCAACACAGTTTGTTGTGTTTTTAAGAAATTGACCAACCCTTTTTAGGTATAGCTGCTTTAGTAAATAAGGGGGAAAAATAGTATGATAGTTTAAATAGAAAATAAAATATATTTATATTTATATATTTATGTTATACATATATATATATATATATATATATATATATATATATGGCCTTTTTGAGACAAGGTCTCACTATGCAGTTCCAGGCTGGCCTTGAATTCACTTTGTAGTCCAGGCTGGCCTCAAACTCACAGTGATCCTCCTGCCTCAGCCTCCTGAGTGCTGGAGTTATAGGCGTGCACCACCATGCCCAGCAAGAATAATTTGTTTTGTTTTGTTTTGTTTTTTTCATCGGTACCGGGGATCGAACTCATGACTGCCTGCTTACAAGGCAGGCGCTTATGCGCTGAGCTAAATTCCCAGCCCCCAAGAATAATATTTTTAAAAATAAAAAGCCCTACAGCAGTCCCTTCCCTGTCAGGGAGTGACAAGAGTCAGTCTCGCTGCCATAGCCATGGGTGTCCAGAGAGGTCTGGTTTGGAGAAACCATCCTTGACTGAGTCCCTGAGCTTTCTCTCTAATGCAGGACAAGTGAACAGAGCAGGGGCTTTGGAGCCGGGCCCAGGTTTGAATCCTGCCTCTGCCTGGTGGTGGGACGTTTTCAGACGAGAGGCAAACAGCTCTCCTTCCCCCGATTTAGAGAACAAACCCTGGCACTGCTGGTCCCTCTGCTAGAGCAGGTCGCTTTGCCAATTACCTCTCTGAGAACACTTTCCAAATGCTGGTGAGGGACGACATGGGGGAAACTAGGATTACAGTGTCTGTGCGCCCTTCCGCCAAGAAAAAGTTTTACCTCTTCCTGGGTTGTGGCTGCATTTAGGTATCAGAAGAAGCTCCTATATTTGGTTTCAGTTAGGGTCTGGCTGCTGAAATGAAGACCCGGAATACCCTCAGCCTAAAACAGACGGAGGCTTCTTTTCCTCGCATCTGACTGTAAGGACACAGCAGCAGCAGAGCCGCACCCCTGCTGTCTCGTTGCTCCGCCATCCCATGGCTGTGACCCTGGTTTTTATGGTCTGCCGGGATCCACCTTACCACAACCCACGCAGCAAGCTCCATGAAGAGACAGGAAATGAAACTCCGCTCTTAAGGGCTCTTCTGAGGATCTCACTCATCCTAAAGACCATGCCGCATGTCTCATTCCTTTGAGCCTTCACCATGCACCCGTTTGAGGGATTGGGGGTCTAAGCACTGAGCCCAACAATTAGGCATGTGGGAAGGCCTTTCACTGGGAAATACAGTCATAGACCAAGCTAGGATGGCTACTATGACAAAGAAGCGAAAACAGGTGGGACACCACAGTCGCCTGCACAGATCCTTCCCCTACCCCCACGTTCTGCACCTCACCCTCCCACCAAGACTCCGAGGTCAAGTTTCCATTCCTCATACCTCCCCATACCCCTCCTGTTACCTCACCGCCTGGCAGTGCCCTCGTGCTTTCCTGCCTCTTGACTTGTGCTTGGCCATGTGACATGCTTTGGACATCATTAGCAGATGTGCTATAACCAAAGCCTTTAAAGACACTGCCTTCACCAGAAGAGCTGCCGCCCTCCAGCTTGGGCCCTAGAATGAACACACAGCTACACAGCATTATCAGAGCAAGAGCTAACTGATGTTCTCCTTGGGCTGCAGCCCAGCAGCTGTCTATTTGGTTATTTTTGTCTGTCCCTCCAGATCCCTCCTCCATCCTTCTCACCATTCTCTGGCCTTGGGGAGGCAGCTCTATGTGGGTGGGGTTGGTGTTTGGCTCCCAGGTGTGTTGGACATGAGAAGTCCTGGTAGGAAGGAGAGTGCAGTTGGAATACTTATTTCCCTGGCTTCCTCCCTGAAGCTCACCAGAGATACAGGTTATATCCTTCCACCAAAGGCCACGGCTCCTGTCAGGTGACCCAGCTGTCTCTCTGGGCCACTCTATCGACTTCCTCTCGCCAATAATGCTCACGGCCACCAGCAGCCCCAGCCCCTGCACTACCCTTGTCTACCCGGAGCCCTGCCTACATCTCTGCCAAATACTCTTTCCTAACAGCGTCCCCCCCTTCCTGGTTTGAATGCGTCACCTGCTTCCCAGTGGCCCCGGACCCATCCACACGACCTCCACCCACCTCTGACAGGCATTTTACCCGGTCTCCACTCTGCCACCAGTGTGCATTTCTAAATACCTATTTGATGTACCTCTATTTGGGTAGTACCATGTGAGAGGACACTACTTTTTTTTCTCCAAATGTAAATTTGGGGTCCATTTTAGAAAACAATCTGGATTTCAGATTCCATGGGATGTTGCTTAAAGCCAGGGGTTGTGGCATCCAACTGTAATCCCAGCACTTTTGGAGGCTGAGGCAGGAGAATTTCGAGTTGAAGGCTAGCCTGGCCCGTTTACTGAGACATTATCTCAAAGTTTTAAAAAAAGAACTGAGAACCTAGCTCAGTGCAAAGGCTCTTGGTTCAGTCCTCAGGATAGAAATAAAGAATAAAAAGAAAGGAAGGGGCCAGGCAGGGTGTTGCACACCTTAATCCTCAGCACTAAAGAGCTGAGGCAGGAGGATGGTCATGAGTTCAAGGCCAGCCTGGGTTACAAGGTCAGTCTGAACCGCACAGCCAGACCCTGTTTCACAAAAACAGGCTGGGGGTTCAGCCCAGTGGTGTAAGCACTTGCCTGGCCATGTCATGAGTTCGATCCCTGGTACCACCACCACCACCAAGAAACTATAAACTAAGGAAGGGCGGATGGACAGACAAATGAAAGAGATTAACTGAAGCTCCGCAGAGAGGTAACAATTTTATATCAGAACTTCACTTATTTTAACTTTGCATCTACAGTGTCAGTGGGTGAAGGACAGAGTTCTGAGGCAGCAAGCCTGAGGAACAATGACTCGGGACGTGGTGTTCCTCATTAAAAAAGGATGGATGGACGAACACAGACGGACAGTCGGACTAGGGAGACAGAGACAGCCACGGGAACAGATGCGGCTTTTCCACCTGGACTCCATCTGGGTGAACACAGCCCTGCACCCCCAGCCCTCCCCCCACCTGGGCCCGAGCTCGGGCTGTGGCATGTCAGGAGGCGCTGGCTGCGCTGCACACGTGGGGAGCGGAAGTCACCGCTCACCATGCATTGTGTTCACTTTTCAGCTCTGCAGCTGTGATGTTTGAGAGAGCCCTGGAAGCTACCTCTTCCTGGTTCCCGTTTCCATTTCAGGCACGGCCTGCATTTCCCAGGGTGTAGGGTAAGAGCCCGCACCGCCTCCTTTACTGTCTTCTCGCTGCTGGGCAAGATGCCTGACACCCAAAGTTAAGGCGGGAAAGGCTTACTTAGCTCACAGTTTGCAGAGGTTTCAAGTCTGTAATCCGATGGTTCCAAGGCAGGGTGGCAATGGCAGAGGGTGACCGTTCAGGATGATGCAGGACAGCAAAAACAATGGGATGGGGGCGAGAGAGCCCTCTGTCCTTCATGCTGCATGCAGCCCGTCCTGGGGATGGTGGAGCACTCACACCCTGAATCCCGGCCAGCACTGGACCACGAATCAATCACAAACTCGAATTCACCCATCTGCGAAACAGCCTAAGACTTCAGGAGGCTTTGCGGGGACATACAGAACAAACCGCCATGGGCATATTGGCCAACCAGCCCAGGCATCTGGCATCACTGCTTTCCTCCTGCTGATTTCCTCTCTCTCCTGCTGGCTCACGGCTGGGCACCCAGGGCAGCCACACTCAGAGAGTCTGGGAGCCCAATGCACCCCCTAAATATAGGTTCCTCTCCAACCAGGCATGCCAGGCCCAGTGGGCCGA